ATATGACAGTGATTCCGGATCGGATGTAGAACCCTTCTGATGATCTATCGGCCTCTTGTACACCCTGCAAATAGTTACATTGAAACAACTGCAATTCAGATGACACTAACAACACATAATCATCAAAAGCTTAACTAAATTTTCTTGCTTCTTATGATTATTATCAATAGAATTGAATTAGTAAATCTCCCAAATAGTTGATTTAGTTCTAATCATCATTATCTTTTTTTATTTTTGAAGATTAATCGTCGTTATCTCTGAACAGTTAGAGGACTAATCATACTGACTTGGCTCGGGACATAGATATAAGTTAAGGAGATGGGAGAAGAAGCAATGATAAGATAATAAGTAAGCTGAAGAATCACACCTCTGAGTTGGCAATAACAACATTCTTCCCTATTCTGGCATTTTTGTCAATGATGCAGTCTCTGCATGATACAATAGGATGATGACAACTATGAGACAGAATGAGACATTTTCAAGGGGAACAAAAACTTGAAGAGGATTAAAGGTTTTGATTACTTGATTTTAGTGTTTTCTCCTATTCCAACAGGAACTCCTCCCTCAGCTAAAACTGCTACTTTTTCTTCATCAGTTTCGTAAAAGTCAGCTCCAAGCATCACCGTATCCTGCATTCATTTATGCATCAGGAAGTCATACCCCTTATCCAGAAAATAGAGAGCGAGACATACCTTTGCATGTTTTATTATTAATTTTATGATAAAGAAAAAGTTAATTATATAGTAGATTTCACATTGGTCTGACAGCATGCTCACAAGTTCTGCATCCTATAGGGTTTGTAGAACAAACCTTGAGGTGAACGTTTGTGTTTATTCGAGATCTGATACCGACAACGCTGTGTTCTATGAAGCAATCAGTTAAGAAACTACCATGAGATATGATTGAATCAACAAGCTGCACGAGAATGCAAAAGAATGTTAATCTTCAGTCGAAAACACAGGCCCAAAAGTTAGGAATACAACCGCATGTCTTAAGGCATCTCAACCTAGTTTCATGTCTGATTAGCATGCTTGCAAGAGCGAAGACATTTTTTCCTTTCTGCCATTCAGTCGAGAGCAGAGTCAAAGACTGAGAATCACTACCTTGCTAGTGTCGATCTTCGAGGGCGGTAGATTTCTCCTTGATGTATATATTGGTTTTGCTGCATCGTAGAAGCTAAACCTTGGTGGCTGGAAGGGCAAAAGATATGTTAAAACAGTGCAAATGTTTTTGTAACCAAAATATAAAATGAATTTTGCAAGTAGAAACAACATGAAAACAGTTACAACACAATGTTTTTAATACAAGTTATCTTTAAATATGAATCCATAACTCAATTAAATACTTTGTGTTTTTAAAATTAAGAACATATATTCTCGTACCAAATACTTGCCATGGCAAGTTTGCATAGGCTGCAAGTCCTCAGACTTGTTACCAAAGATCAGAACTGACAAAAAGCAGAGACTTTCTGTGACACTTACATGCTCAGTGAGGGCAAGGTTTGCTTCAAAGAAAGATCTGATAGTTCCTATATCTTCCCAATAGTCATTGAAGAGATAAGCCTGTTCAGAAATTTTACATGTAAACTGTAAATATATGTGCTGAATTATCCTTCCAGTTGGACTAAAAAAATCTTCTAACAAACCTAAGGGGAGGGGGTGTGACTGCTTTCATATGCTATCTGTAGAAGAAACTTGAGTGAATACCTTTATGAAGAACTCTTTGGCTGAGGCCGGGATTATTTCTGATCCAAAGTCATTTGCAGTTGGAAAACGCCATCTGAATCAACAACATTGCATAAAACTTATGCTCCTTTGTTCGACATGGCAGGTGTATTTTTACATGATTGTTAACTGAATTGATCAAGAAGTTTTCATTCTTTCTTTGCTTTCTTCAGACGAAATTAGTCTATAGGAAAACAAAATTTAGCTTGTAGTGTTTTGATAACCTATAACTTCAGGTGCTCAGTACCTCAAAAGGTTCAGAAGTATCTCCTTCTTGAAGACATACACTCCCATGGAGGCAATATACGGTTTCTTTTCAGCCTCAGCTCTTGAGAGTCCTAGAACTGTTGTATCTACTGCCTAAAGTATACAGTGATATTAGCAAAAGCCCTCAAATTTCTAGAACCAGTAAAATGGCAAAGTGCAGCAGAAACTGAAAATTACCATTGCTTTCAACTCTTGTCCCTTGGGCTTTTCACTGAAAGACAGAATCCTTCCTTTATTATCTATCTTCATTAGACCAAAATCTGAGGCACGCCTACAATAAAAGCAACAGAAAGAGGTAATGCATATTATCAACAGTGTACCATTAGATAAAAGCTATAGAATCTTTGCGGGAACAAATAGAAATTGAAAAGAAAGTCCATGAAGTCTACTTATGGAAAATCTGACAGTTTACAAGATCCTTGAGAGAAAAAAAAAAAGATTGAAGGTGTACCTATGATCTATGGGAAGGCAAGAAATGGTGATGTCTGCACCACTCTGCCGGTGGTTCTGTAAACAAAAAAAAAAGAAGATGAATCTCAGTATCTGTTAGTCTCTAAATTGATGGCATCAATGTATAATATATTACAAGTAAAACTAGTCTGGCATTTTTTGTAAGCCAGTCCTGTCTCGTGAGACCTGATTTCCAACGTCAGATCTCTACAGGGATTCCCTGCTTTATAAAACAATTAATTTTCACAAAAAAAGGAAAAAACTATCTGCATATCTGGTGCCTTACCTGAACAAAATCCATATAGTCCATTCGATATAAGTGATCCCCTGATAGAATCAGCACATCCTCAATCGCCTTGCTTCTTGCATCCTACAAGATGGTAAGTTGTAAATCAACAGCCAGAGTCATAAATAAGAGGACTACTGATAGCATTTTACAATTTTTAACTTTGCGTTCTCTTGTTCTTCTCAAAATCAAGATTCAAGCTTAGAGGCTAAATGCATACCAATGAAATTGTCAAATTCCAATATCAAATAAATGAGTAATTCAAAGACTTCTTTTTCCCCCATTGAGGGAGCTGGCTGTGAATACCTCAAAAAGCCAGTGAAACTGTCGCACGGCGTCTGCAGTCCCTTGGAACCATCTTTTACCAGCCTCTCCTGGAGTTTGTGTGGCTGACAGGGTCTAGTATAAAGCAACAAAGTCTTCCAACATCAGAATCGCTGGCTGCTATAAGCCAGAAATGAACTCGCTCTGTGCATAAATGAATTAACATTGTTCGTTTAAAATGCTGAAATTGACGTATACCTCAACATAGCCATCTCCGAAGTTGACCCCATTGCCAAAGTTGTAAGCACGGGAGAGATGCCTGTTAAGCGAAGCCGAGTTAAATTGGGTGAGAATATACACTTTGTTGATCCCACTATTAATGCAGTTGCTCATTGGCACATCAATTAGCCTGTATGCACCTCCAATCGGAACCTACAAATTTGCAACTGGCAATGAAAATGTGCAAATAAATGGATAAATGGAATTGAAAATTGGTGGTGAACACTTACAGCAGGCTTGGCACGTTGCCTGGTGAGAGGGAAAAGACGAGTTCCAGCTCCTCCTCCCAGAATAACTGCCACAACCGTCCTCGGGTCCCGCTTTTCCAGCTCTAGGTCCCTTAGCTGCATGAAGCCATGAACCACCCCCCCTAATTTTATTAAATGATGTAATATGCCAACAATTTCCATTTTTAACTAAGGGTGGCAATATGACATGAAGGAGATCCATTAAAAACAAATGGCTTGCATGTTTTAGTTCCAAGCACATTGATGATGGCAGACATGCATGAAAGAGAAAATTAAAGAAGGGTTAACTACATTCTTCACCTTGGACTCCCCTGCTATGTTAGTAGTAAGTGACATGCAAATATTTTGCTTGGCATTCTTATTACCACTAAGACCTTGATGTTTCGGGGTCATGCTAAGCTTCTTCCCCATCAACTCTCCATTGCAAAACTTCACAAGCCTCGAACTCCTCCCAGGCAAGGCCACCGTGCCACGTGGCTGGCTGGCGGCAGAGAGCGATAACCGGCCATTGGCCGATACCGTCATTTTCTTGGAAGCTCAAGGAGAAAATTGGAATTCAAGTTAGTGAAGAGGTAATACTACGTTTAGGCATATGAAGGGAGAGCGAGGGCGGTGATGATGGGGAGGGGTGCATCGCTCTCATGATGTGCATGGTATTGGCCACGTTATCCAAAATCAATTGCATCCACCAAATTTTTTGATGTTTGTGTGGACTGCGGCCCTTTTAAGAGTAAAAATCTAATGACTCGATAGTCCTAAAATTTTGTAACTAATTACGAATCAAAGAGTATTCTACCATTTCTGCCTAAAGATTTTTGTTAGTTACTTTGGTGTGCTAATGGGCCAAAATTGTGGGCTGGGTCTCGCAATTAAGCACGGACTGAGCTGTGTTATTTGGGTATCTCAATGTATTTTGTATGGAAGGTGCATAAAGGATTAGTTCCAAATCATCATTTTTCTTTCTTTCTTAATTCTTTAGCTATTAATTTGCAAATGAAATATACTTCATATTTGATAAAAAAAAAAAACTTAGCAAATTTCACCGTTGAAAACCAAACCAAAACTTGATAATCTAAGTTTGAACACTAACTTTTATATTATTATTGTAACATACTATTCCATTAATGAAACATAAAAGTATTTCTTTTATTTTTTTTCTTCTTTGTTCACAATATGTGCATTTAGATTCAAGGTCATAGTAGTTGCATGATTTATTTTGTGTGTTGAAGCATCTTTTTTGTTCATCCGCATGAATTAGATCTTGCATTTTTTTTTAATGAAGAACTTAGGAATTAATTAATGCTTAAAAATTTTAACAAACCAAGTTTAATTTAGCCGTAACTTTTCGTATTTGATTGGAAAAAGAGGGAAGACTTTCAGTTGTTGGTACGCCGTCGTTTTAGAGGTGCGTTGTGATTTGTGTCGGTCGTTGTTGGTCAAACGACGCTTTCAGACATCTAACGATGCCAACAAACGAAACTAGTTTATAGTTCCACAGATTGATGAACAGTGACTGTAACAATAGCTACAATCTTCCGAACTCTTCTCCTTTTTTAACTCTTCTTCCAGACAACAACCTCATTCACCCAACAAACAATGGCATTTTCGAAGCTCTCTCCTTTCTTCTCATTGCTCCTTCTTTCCATTCTCTTCATGATCAACTTCTCCCCAATCTTCTGTGACACTGGTAACGATTCTTTTCTTTTCTTTTCTATTTTTTAGATCACTTTGTTTTTTTTAAGTTCCCCAAATTATTTGTATTTAAGCTTCTGGATCTGGATACGTTCTTTGTTGCCTAAGCAATGTCGTTTGACCAATTGACCTTGGTGATTTGTCTGAAATCTGAATTATTTTTGGGTTGGGAGTTGTTCTTTGTAGATATGATGTGATTTTATTGAGTGAATGTATTTTTGCTTATAACAGAGATCTACAGGTATTTTGGACGGACATTGTTTCTATTAAACATGACATATCCTTATTTATGAACCCATTTGATAACTGGATTGATGCATCTAGTGGATTTTTAATAAGATTCTGCTAATTATTTCATTCAAAAAAAAAAAGATTCTGCTAATTATTCATATAGATATATAATGTGTTTGAAATGGTGTTCTGTTATAGTATTTGAGTATCTTGGAAGATCATATTTTCTTTTACTTGTTGATAGTTGCAGTGGATCCTACTTTTGCCATTCGTTGTTTGTTGTTCTTGATCGAGTAAGAAGAGAAGGTATCTGAATATTTGATCTTTATTAACGAAATGTTCCCTCTTTTTCTAAGAAGGCCTGCTATCATTCCCATTTTCATTGTGCCAATATGCTAAGAATGTCTTCCTTATTTCCAGTAATTAGAAACATGATCCATGGTTATATATGCCCGCTGAAACTTGTTAGACATTCACTAGTTTAGCAACTTGTAAAGGTTGCCAATGGCCATTCCACCTACCTTTGTCATCATTCCTCGAAGATTGAAGTAATTAGGTTCAAGTCCTGAAATTTGGGCAGAGTTGGTAAAGAGATGAGAGAAGAAGGTTACCTCTGGTTATCTGACCTAGTCAATGGATCCAGAAAGCAGCCCATACTAAAAATTTTATTAGTATAATGGCTATTTGGTACTTTTTAAGATCTTTGGTTGTTAAGAATACCTTACAGATCATCAAAGTAATTAATTTAAAATAACCATGAGGTAGTTGTCAAGATCTGAACAGCTTGTTTATTTTGTTTGATACTGAAGAAGCAACGCTATTCCTGAACATGTTGTAGCTCTTGATAATCCGCATATGTCCAAATATATTGATTAAGAGAGATGATGAAGCAACCACCTGCTAAACCCACCAACTTGTCTGAGATTCCAAGCTTAGAGAATCATTTAAAAACCAAAAAGTGAACTTTTCCTTTAAGTTATTGCCTAAGCTTGTAAATATTCAATCTGTTTTGAGATTGTTTAGCCTGCCTTGTTGTCAACCTACCCAAGAACCCTGATCAATCAGAGCTATGCTCACATGAACCAACAAATTTGAACTAGGTGGGGTTTCAGATAGGCCCTGCTTGAAGGATCTAGAGGAGATCTCCTAGATCAACTTTGAATTAGCAGTTGGCAATGTAGTAATGTTTCAGATTTCTTGAACATAAATCCTCCACAAGTTATTATTTTAACGTAACTGTGTTATGTTAAGAGTCTTCAAAAGCTTGTTTGTGCTATCATCTTTCTCTCCTTTACAATCTCTTGATTCTTGTAAGGTATGCTGTGCAGCCATATTACTAGAATCTGGGATTGGTCACACTTTAAGCTTTCCTCTTAAGAACCAGAAGCTTTCATATTACTCTCTGGCTGTAGAAAACACTGACTAGTTCCCACAGAAATGTCATTCAAGAGGAAAGTGTTTGTGGAGTTGCATGACTTGTATGGATAAGAAATGTGTTTCTCTGATATCCTATGTTGACCGATTAGGCTTAGATAGTTAAGAAAAAATCTGTAGCATTCTGACCTTGGTATGGATTAATTGGTTTGACGTTTTGAGTAACTTGAGTTGCATTGTATCTTTCCTACAGTCCAGTTGTTCAGTAATTTTAGCTACAGAGTAAGAATAATGAACTTACCGATTTTGCTTGAGATTTTCTGCCACGTAGCTATGGTTTCTTTTGAGAAATGCGAAGAAAATGATTTTCTTTGCATATTCATTGATGCCTGAAATAGAACTTATTTTGTTTGCTCTTTCAAAAAAGAAATGGCGGTCAAACAATATTTGTTAAAGAGTTGAGAAAGCTTTCTTGCCCTTCCCGGATAGATATCTAATCATTGATTTCATCTTGACCATATACAGATGAGGAGGATGATCTTCTCAAAGGCATCAACAGTTATCGGGCTTCTTTGAATTTGACAATCCTGACAAAAAATGACAATGCTGAGTGCTTTGCTGATGAACTGGCTGATCAATTCAAGAACCAACCTTGTACAAACTCCACTGGTGCGAATACAGTTCCAGGCACTGAACCTCAGTTTGCCAACTATCCAAAACTTTTAGCCAAATGTCATCTCAATGTCTCCAACACAAGGGATGGAGCAGTAATGCCTGCTTGTGTTCCAAACCTGGTTCCAAGTCTTGTGCTCACCAACTTTACAGAGTCTCAGTACTCTGATAATCTCAATGACACCAAGTATACAGGAGTTGGGATTGGTTCAGATGGAGATTGGATAGTTGTTGTCCTGACCACAGGCACACCTGAAGGAAGCTTTGTGCCAGCTACCACTAGTGCAGCTAGTTCGGTTTCCAAGATCGCTTTAATTTATCACGTGCTGTTCTGGCTGATGGTTGCTTTCTACTTGTTATAAGCACCTATCTTTGGTTTACGGCACTGTCATTCATTTGCAGAGGTAACCAGAGGACCATATTCCATTGCTTCAACAGATAGGGAAACTATGAATTACCAAATACACTCACTTTCTTTAGACAAATGAATCCAGTTCTTTGTAGTTTGATATGTGATTTTGTCATTCAAATTACCATTTCAAAAAGGACTATACAAGATCATATTATGCATAGACTGTTTTTGTCTTGTTACCGAGTTTGATAATACATTTTTCGTTCTCTCCCTCTCTTTTTTCCCTTGTGAATTGTGATAATTCAAAGTGACATAGAAGTATATTATATTAGAGGAACTTGGAAGGTAGCGGTTACTTTTAACGAGAAGTACACATATTTTACAAGTAAAAACGATGGCCAAAAAAAAAAAAAGAAACCCGCACAGTAGATGAACCAATCAAAAGAAGTTTCAGGTTGAGGTTTTTCCAGGAAACAGGGCTGTACCTCAACGTGTTCGGTTTCAATACTAAGCCATCAGTCAGTTATAGGCTGACAAATTGAGTTCAACTATGCAAACAAAGCAGAGCGTAACTGCTGAAGCTTTTCTTAAACAGAGTCTGGAAGCCTTCCTGTTTATTTCTTGATCACTCTCACCCACCTTCCTCATTGACTTGTACTTCAGATTTTAGACTTAAGAGCAAGGAGGAATTTGGTTCCCTCGAAGATACTATTGTAGTTGAAAAAAGAGAAGTATCTTCCTGAAAGCAAGAACCACGTCCCAAGGTGTTAAACAATTGGCAGGGAAACTCAAAAAAAGGTTCATGATATAAAATTAAGCTTCAAGTCAACTTAAGATGCTTACCATTTGAATGTTAATAGATAAGGTACCTTGAAATTTTGCAGGTGCTACTATTGCTGGAGGCAGAGGCTTCTTCTTGAAAGGAGCAGGTGTTCTTAATCAGGCTCTGATAAACTATGGTTTGTCATTTTTAAGAAGAAGAGGTTATACATTAATGCAGACTCCATTCTTCATGAGAAAGGATGTTATGGCAAAGTGTGCTCAATTATCTCAATTTCATGAAGAGCTTTGCAAGGTAATACTTGAAAAATCTGCTAGTCTTGAATAGTTTCACCAACGTTGTCTTTGTGTTTACTGGCAATGCAAGTAGACAGGATTGATGGCGTGTTTTAGAAATCATTTTGATATTTAAAAATTTTGATTTCTGTTAAATATGTTCATTGATTCTACTTTCATTCCTAGTCCTGGATCAGGAAACTGTTTAACTTCCATCCTGGTTTACCACTTAAAGCAATCATACTTGTTTTGAACACAACATAAAAGTCAATCACAGCTGTCAGCTGATAAAATGATATGTTATGATGGTGGCGGGATATGCTTTTGTTTTTGCTTTCTGGAAAGGTATGAGGTGGGCTTTGTTGTTTTTTCTGAGGAGGGTTACTTGCAGGCTATGTGTGATCAGTGATCATTTATAAGACTTTGGTGGTTGGTGCTGTGATGATTAAGGACTGTCAACCCCAAATAGGTGAGTTACAGACCTTAATCAAGTTTGTACTTTTCCCAGAGGTGAATTTTCGGTATCCTCTGCTCTGAAATAAACAACTTTCAAAAAAAAAAAAATGGTAGTACCAAGAGGAGAGCTGTTACCACACTGCTGCTTCTTTAGGTAGAAAATGTTGTGCCTTCTGATAAAATTATCTTTTTAAATCTCCTATTTCCAAACTCACTTGTACCGTTTTGGGGCCATTTTATTTCTATGTAGAAAGTGCAGCATGTTTCTCTTTTGATCACAAGGAAGAACATTACTATGTATGATATTATATGATTATGTAGCTTGGGGCTAGGATGTCACATTGTTATGAAGGTTGGTTTCCTTGCAGAGGATCCAACCCCAGCATGACCAAACAATGGATTATGAGCTTTATCATCAGACCAGATGGCAATTTTAAAGATACAGCATTCGAACCTTTTACACCTGCTCTATTTTTCTGGCTTAATGTGATTGGGACATATTATTTTCATCAGGAAACCAGCGAGGGAGATGAAATATACCTGATAGCAACGTCTGAGCAGCCATTGTGTGCTTATCATCAAGATGATTGGACACAACCTAAGCAATAGCCAATAAGGTCAAGCGAAACATCTTGCTGTCTTGTTTGTAAGTAATTGCACGATTTCTAGTCGATAGCTGATAGAATTTGGATTTTCACTAGATATGCTGGATATTCTACTTGTTTCCAGAAAGAAGCTGGTTCACATGGAAAGTATACTCTAGGAATATTTTGAGTTCATCAATTTGAGAAAGTGGATCAGTTTTGTATAACCAGGCCCAATGGGAATGATTCTTGGAAGATGCTTGAGGAGATGATCAGAACTTCTGAGAAGTTTTACCAGGAGGTATAAACATTCTGTTTCCCAAACTGCATCATGCACCCATCTTGTTCCTTTCCTCACTTAAGCCCCAGCCATCACCCTCCTATCAGATAAATTCTTGGCTACGGACCAGTCCCCTCTACATAGGTCTATCAAATCTCTTCGCCGTTGTTCTCCATTTTGAGCTACATGCTGGACTATTAAATCCTTTTATTCTGAACATAATGAGAATCATCATGCCAGCAACAGTGGAAGTGTTCTGACTTCATAGTTGTGATAACTAAGGCAGCCAGAAACATTATTTTACTCCATTACTGATGCATATTCTTTCATTTGAAATTATTCATTTGCTTGTCTGCTGAACGATTTTATATTTTTCTTAGGAAGGACCGAGTGATTGATTTTGTCCTTTCCAGCTAAAAAACCCTGACCAAGTTGTGGCAGTGGTGTCTGGTAAATTAAAGGATGCAGCTGCCAAGAAGTATGACTTGGAAGGATGGTCCCCTGCATCAAAGACCTATAGGGAACTGGTGCCCTGCTCAAACTGTACGGACTACCAGTTGAGGATATTGGAAATTCGTTATGGATCCCAAAACGTTGATCTTCTTGCTAACACTTGGCGTCTATCATATACACCAGATACTCACCACTTAATTGTTGTAATCAATTTCTGTTGCAGAGCAATGGCCAAGCAAAACAGTATGTTCACACGCTGAACTCTACCCTTACAGCAATTGAGAGAACAATGTGTTGCATCTTGGAAAATTACCAGAAGGAGAATGGCGTGGAGATTCCGCAAGTGTTAATTCCCTACATGGGTGGTGTTACATTCCTTCCTTAATAGAGCAACATTCAAACCTCACTTGCATGTGCATGTATGCAAGTGTTGTTGGCCTTCTACTTGTTTCCGTCAACGTGGTTTAAGATGGAAATGCTCAAAGCCTTGTCTATCTCTGTACTTATCTCTCTTGTATTTATGCTGTTATGAAAGTAAAGAAAGTGAAACCTACAGCTTGTCAATGCTTTAGCAAACGTATAAAATTGTTCACTTCTGCCTTTCTTTCTTTCTTTATCTCCTTTCCCCAACCTGCTTATTTACTTGGTAGGAAGTAGGAACCTTGCACTTTCTTGAACTCTGGATTCTGGGGAAAAGGTGCCAGCAGCTGGTCGGTGTATATGATAGAAAGCGAAAGCTGACAAATAAATCCAACCCCATCCATCCAACACATAGATTGGCAAGCTGCCCACATATAACTTGATCACTGGTTGTAAAATATAATATATTCCAATGGTAGCTGCTGAAGCCATGTGAAAGAATTTTACTTTCAGGATGGTACAGATCTAACAGTGTCATTAAGGAATAGAACAAATTTATTGTTGTTTCAAAATGAATCTTCCATCTGCAGGAACAAAAGTTGCCCTCCCGTGCCCACCAAAAGGGATAGCTTTTGCTCAAAATTCCTCCTCAAGGTGGATGAACTTTGAAGCCAAGAATGCTATGCTAGAATTCTTGCTTTCATTAAGCACTCTTTAATCTGGTGAGGGTCATAAACAGATACCTTCTCAGTGCAAGCATTAGAACCCATGTGGTCTTTGAGATCTTCTCCTTTATCATTAGAAGCAATGCCGAGCTTAGCACAGTCTTCAGGATCTGGGCTTCTAATCCTTTGTAAAAACCCAGCAGGCCTTCTCTTCTCCAAATGGAATAAAGAACACCTGAAGCCGTCTTTTGATGCTTTAATTGGGCTGTCTTGGTTTCATCATCATCATCATCATCATCATCATCATACTCTGCAGCCTGAATCATGACCTTACACCTGTCCAATATTCATACACTAACTTTGTCAACAAAGTTGTTAAATCACTAGGTAAGGAGGTCTAGCATTTTGGGCTTTGCATCATGCTACTTGAATTTCAAATATCATTAGAAACAAAAGAAAATGGAAGCTTCATTTCTATCAATGAATTTCCAAAATAATAGAAAAAACCTAATAAAATTACTAGTGAACTGCTTGCAGTGGAGGCCAGATACAATTGGCTAAATACCTGATAGCTGGGTAAGTTAAGAATGTTGCAATACACTTTGAGACTGCACCCAGTACAAATGCAGAAAAGGCTGAAAGAGCCACTGGGGATGGCTCCGTACCTGTTTTCTCCTTTAGCTGCCTCTTAAGTAGTCGTTGTTTCAATTGATCAAATGAAGTATACTGCACAAAATAAAAGAGACCTATTTTCAGCTTAGCGCATCCGAGCAAAACGTCAACTGCGGTGCTGTATAGGAATAAGGATATAAAATCTAAACATTAAAACATTGTAATTGCATATTTGCCCAGATGGGGCCTGTTCCCCAGTCCCCAAACTGTTAAGAATCTCAGGTGGCAAGATGCTCCATCAACTCATAAACCAAAACTACACTAGCATAATATCATCTTTTGGATCTCAAAACAGATCAATAATTCAACTACACTCAACACACTTGCTATTCATACAACCTATATAGCTGAAGGCAGAGTCAAGTACCTGAATAGATGGATTTGAAGTCAAGAGAAGAGATATGCCAAGACCATCAAATGCCTCATGCCAAGAGCCCTCTGAAAGTGTCTTCCAGAGTCCTTTGGATTTCCCAAATTCACTTGTCTGCATCCTTGAGGATGCTGTGTCCAAGGGCTGGTACAGTAAAGTTAGATTCCAATATCTAATGGTAACACAAATCGCAATGCTCATTTCAATAGGGATGGCAAGGGAACTCTAATGGATACAGGGGTGAACCTGAATACTGCAAGGTAATAAGTAAAATATCCCCTTCATTATAGCAAAAGAATCTATTCTGGCTGATATGCATTATCCCTTTTACTTTTCCTCTTGATTTCAAGAAAAGTGAATGTTTGAATTTATTATTGACTTTTAAACGATTTTTTCTTTTTCTAGCTATGATTCCATTCTAAACAACAAGTTTTTGATTTCCAACCTCAGAAAGAAAAAAATGACTGCAATATTTACTTCCATCTAATATTTGAACAAGATTCCATGCACGGTAATCATGGTTATCAATGAATCTAACAATACAAAGACCTTAAATTGCTCAGCCAAATGAACTTTTAACACCACATAATATGCAGGACACGTGCAAACCAAACTCCCTAGGAAAAAAAAATTGTATTCTGATAATAAAAAAGGTAAAAAAATACTAAAAAAATCACTACCTGTGTAATTATAACAGTACAAGCCCCGGCAGCAGCAGCAACAATCAAGTTTGCCTTTGTACCAATGGTCTTGCTCCCACTTTTCTGCAAGTACAGCCTTTTAAAGAAGCTGTATCCATAAAAGTAGATAAACTGTGAAATAAAGGACTGCAGATTTTTTGTTCCAAGGCCCTGCCATAGTGAAAGAACTTGACCGGTAGAAATTGCTTCCCACAGAACATCAGAAATGTTCCTGCACGAGCCAAGGCATATGTCAACACTGAACAAAACAGTCCTTTGGTTTTGAACACATTTTAATATAAAAATCAATTATTTTGATCTTCAACATATAAAAATCATATGATAAGTTCTTTATGTGACATAATCAAACAAATGACTCACTCTTAATCCATCACAGCAACCTCAACTTTTTGACTCATTAATTGAAAAGGCAAATAAGACAAACAGATATACAAAATTTCTCTGTTAAGTATGACTACTTAAGTTCGCTTTGCAAGCATTTCATAATAAAAAAGATCGACTCCTTTTGACCATTTGATACAGTTAAAATCAAATAAATTTCCCAAAAAAAAAAAAAAGGAAACAAGAAAAACCCTGCCCTTAGTTTCCAATGATCATAATTTAAGTTTCTTGGTCATCTTATAAGGCCATAAAATCATTACTCTCCAAGAAATTCACATACAATCATAAATCAGTCCACTTTACACTGACAAGAAAAAAAAATCAAAGTAAAGCTGAAAACATTAAAAGGTTATAAATAAAATATCTAAAAATTTCAAGTGGGACCCTGGAGAAGGGGTGAAAAAATTTCCAAAAATTGTTGATTGTTGGACCTGTATTTTTGTTGATGGTGAGCTCTAACTTCAGCTTGATACTTGCTTTTACAAGTGTCAAGAGGGTATAAGATTGTGGTGCTAACCAGAGCTCCAATGGCTCCGGACGTTGCCTCCGCCAAAGACTCTAGATCAAACGCCATCTTATCTTCCTATCATCAAAAACTCCACAATCCTTCTTCTTCGATGGAAATATCTAATCCAAGATTTTGGGAGATAGGGAGTGATTAAATAAATAAAATATGCTTACAAAGAGGTTGAACAAGTGTGAAAGAAAGGAAATGGATGTCGGGAAGGGAAATGCGACAGTGACGTTGACGCCGCGGAGAGAAAATAAGAATATGGAAGACCTCGTTGGGGGAGAAAATAAGTACTCATCTCAGGAGTCGAAACGTGTACGGGCTTCTCTTTTCATCTCTTCTTTTAGGATTTTGTCTTGCAACGGTGTTGGCCCCTGGGCTTACGCCATCTTGTTTGGTTCCGTTTGCCGTATCGGTGGATACCCATCTTACGGTCGCGATCGCCTGTTTTTCTGTGAAAAAAATAATATGTATGAAATTTTTTTATTAAATTTCGAATTATATAAAAAGATTTTATTTTTTTAATCAAATAAATTCTTTTTCTTAATTTTTTAATTTCAAATTTTCAAACCCTCCATTAATTATTGATAAAGAAAGAAAAATATTATTGTGAGGATCAATTTTACACGATAAATATGTTTAGATTCACATAAAAAGAATAAAACACTAAAAGTACTAATTTTAATAGTTTGTAGGTTAAAATTTTTATTCACTTATCTCTATTAACAGAAAATTGAAAGACATAAAAAATTATAAAAAGAGACTATTGCCTTAATTCTAATAATAGTATTTTTGTTGATTTAAATTATATATTTAAATCCCATATATGAATTCATACCTCTTCTTAGAAAGTAGAGATGTTAATGATTTGAACCTAATTTAGGCATAACCCGCTAAAGAGCTAATCCAAACTCATTAAGCTTGAATTTTAGATTATAACATAATAAAATATTTTCTTATTTTTTAGTCACATTTTTTAGGTTTGTTTTTGAATTATAAATTAAATAGTATCATTACAAAATATTTTAGTATGATTAATCCAGAATTGGGCCGCCCAGCCCATGAACTTATAACTTAAAAGTCCAAAATGATTATTTTCATTTGTTTAATGAAACGTTAAATATGTCCGTCTCTTTCATACGACAACCAAACTTAACGGTCAGTAACATAAAAAAGCCATTAACCCAAAAATTTTGAAAAAAATTATTTTTAGCGGTTCAACGCAAAGCCATCATTTTACACATTTCTTCTTTTTTTTTTCAAAATAAAAAAAAAAAAGGAAAAACTCTTCGCTGTCCTCCTTTTTCCCTCTCATTTCAAATTGATCACTCTCACTCTTTCCTCCATCTCCTTCTCCTTCTCCTTCTCTCTCTCTCTCTCGCAAGCCCTAACAAATCGATATCGTTAAACAAACAAATCTAAGAAAAAGCGAAGATTCTTTAACTCTAATGCAGGATTTTGTTGGATCGGTTCGCCGATCCTTAGTCTTTCGGTCTTCGACGTCTGGCGACGATGCCGGTGGAGGACTTGGAGGCTTTGTTGAGAAGATCGGCGCCAGCATTCGTAGATCGCGAATCGGCTTGTTCGCTAAGCCGCCGGAGCCGCCCGCCCTTCCGCCTGTTAAAAAAACTGATGCTCCGTCTATCCGGTGGCGGAAAGGCGAGTTGATTGGTTGTGGCGCGTTTGGTCGCGTTTATATGGGCATGAATCTTGACACGGGCGAGTTACTAGCAGTTAAACAAGTCAGTTACTTTCAATTGAGAGGGCAATCGTTTTGGTTTTTGTTTAAAAATTATTCTATTTTGATTTTTATTTATTTTTGTGGATGCAGGTTTTGATAGCTGCAAATGCTTCGAAGGCGAAAACGCAGGTAACAAAACGGTTTTTTGTCAATTATTTTTCTAAAAATGAATTTAAAACTATCAACTTATGAATAATTAGTAACTATTTTTGTCTTTTAACTGAATTGATTTTGGATAGGCCCATATTAGAGAGCTAGAAGAAGAAGTGAAGCTACTACAGAATCTTTCACATCCAAATATAGTTGTAAGTATGATTTTTGTAATTTTATTTGAATTTTTATGTGGTTTATTCATAAACTATTATTTTCTTCTTTCTTTTCTTGCTAGAGATATTTGGGCACTGCAAGAGAGGATGATTCGTTGAATATTTTATTGGAGTTTGTACCAGGTGGATCCATTTCCTCACTTTTGGGAAAGTTTGAATCTTTCCCTGAACCTGTAAGTTATTGTTTTTGTGCTTAAAATTTTAGAATGTCTGGCGTTCACCTTTTCCATGAGCTCATGATCTTAATTTTAGTATTTATTTGCTAAACAACAGGTTGTAAGAATGTATACAAAACAACTTTTATTGGGACTGGAATATCTTCACGAGAATAGAATTGTGCATAGGGACATCAAGGTACTTGATTTTTTCTCATAGAAAATTGTTGTGTGTTTGCTTGAGTGTGTTTGATTTGATGTTGAGCTATACATTCAGGGGGCAAACATTCTTGTGGATAACAAGGGATGCATCAAACTTGCAGACTTTGGTGCATCGAAGAAAGTTGTTGAGCTGGTAAAAAAACTATTTTTCTTTCTTTTGTATCCTTATCTTTAAAGTTTCTTATTTTGTCTTTAGAGTGATGACTTTCTGTTTCTTCAGGCCACAATAAATGGTGCCAAGTCAATGAAGGGAACTGTACATTGGATGGCTCCTGAAGTTGTTCGTCAAACTGGGCATAGCTTGTAAGAAAATTATGTAACTTCGTTCTTATAGATCACACTTTTTAAAATTTGTTTTTATACTGGTATATTCGAATGTTTATGTTTTTTATGATCATGGTTTTTTGTTTTTTCCCCTCTAAAAAAAATTCTCTTTTGACTTTTACCAACGAAAAGGTCTGAGGGATCAGCTGCTAGAATCTTTTTCATGTATTGAAAAATTTTTATTTTCTAAAACAGAAATGGGTATACAATATAAGCAGCTTAAGATAAATTATTTCAAAAATCTCTTGCTCCCGATCTAGAACATATAGTGGTGCAGCATATGTTTGCTTCCTCTTCCTCAAAAGAATAAAATAGAGTTTCATGCTTGTAGTGCTTGCTATCTGATCTTAGGAACTTATTTATTTTGGACTTCACTTTCTTAGCTCTGCTGATATATGGAGTGTTGGATGTACTGTGATTGAGATGGCTACTGGAAAGCCCCCATGGAGCCAATTTCAGGAGGTAAGCACTTGAAGCTGCTAGAAAGCCTTCATAAGTATGATATATTAGAATGATCTAACTTAACAAAAAAAATATTAGAATGATCTAATTGTAGACTGGATTTGGCATGTAATTTCCTTAGCTTAAAGACTGAACTGGTGTCTCTTTCAGGTTGCTGCTCTCTTCCATATTGGGACAACTAAATCTCATCCACCAATCCCTGATCATCTCTCCTTTGCGGCAAAGGACTTTTTGTTAAAATGCCTGCAGGGGTACATTCTTGATATCCTTTGGTCTAGTTTCTTACAGTTTTGTGTTTTCTTTATCCATCCTTTGTTTCTTGAAAAGGCCAATAAAGTAGTTGAATGTTTATATGGAATTTTCTGATATGTAAACTTCAATAAGTTTTTGTGAAGTTATTTTTAATAGTTGCAATTTTGTACAAGTAGCTCTTACACTCATCATTTTGGTGCCAGTGAACCAGGATTAAGACCTAGTGCATCAGACTTGCTGCAGGTAATTTCAAATCATTGACCATTTTTTGCCTGAATTCTTCATAGAATAGTCTTAAACTGTTATAATACATGCATGTAGCCATGGATATGATTACAAATGTTAAATTTTGCTAACTCATGATTTATTGTCTTTATCTAAATATATGCAGCATCCTTTTGTCACTGGAAATTATCAGGAACCTCATCTGTTGTTTCGCAACTCAATTATGGTAAATCTGATTGCATTCAGCTTTATTAGTTTTATCTTTCTATTCTTTTATCCTTTCTTTATCAATTTATCAGGAGCCTGGAAATCTGGTGATTGCATCTGGGATAAACCTGAGGAGCTCGTATGTGTCTCCACTTCATGGATTATATATATTTCTTATTTTCTTTTTTTTTTAAGGTTAAATTTTACGCTTGAAATTATATTGAGTCACAGCATAAATTCGGAGATCAGGTCAACCTGCACAGGCTTAAAGGACGTTTGTGAAATGGGTAGTGTGAGGTGCTCTACAGTATATTCTGGGAAATTATCAGAACCAGGGTCCTATTGGAGGGCAAGCAACTGTGATGATGACATGTGTCAGTTAGATGACAAAGATGATGTTGACTTTGGTGCTTCAGTAAAGTTCAAGTCTATTTTAGCATCCACTGACTTGAATAAAGTAATCATCTGCTCTTGAACTACATATTCTTGTTTAGATGCTTATAATGTGCTTAATAAAAATGCTTAATTATTTATTTGCAGAGTTTTAATCCTATGTGTGAACCCATGGAAGACTGGTCATGCAAATTAGATGGAAGCTCAGAGCTACGGAGAAGTGGAGTAAACATGTCTTTGGGTGAAACGGTAGAAGCTGCCGGCAGTCCTGAAATGTCTGGTAAGGTGGAGAATGATTTTAGTTTTCCACGTGGACCATCAGCAGTTGATGATGAAGAAGAAGTTACAGAGTCAAAAATTAGAGCTTTCCTGGATGAAAAGGTACTTTTTTTAGAAATACAATAATCTTCCCTTTATGAATGAGTAACAGTTAAATTTTTTTGTGTTGCCCTGAGATCTTGTGTGATAGAAGCTAATTCAGTACTTTCCTTTAATCAGGCTCTAGAACTTAAGAAGCTGCAATCTCCTTTATATGAAGAGTTTTACAACACGTTGAATGGCGGTCCTCCAACTCCTGTTGGAACTGCAAACGGTGAAAATGTTTTGAAATTACCTCCTAAAAGCAGGTCACCTAAGCGGCTGCCTAGCAGAAGACTCTCTGCAGTTGCTGATGCTGCCAACATAGCTAGCCCAAAGAGTCATACCAATCATTTGTCAAAGAATGCTGCTGTTCATGATCGGACTCTGCAAGAAATTCAGCCACCTCCTGTTGGGGAATGGAATGGGCTTCTCAATGCTCAGCAGGAGACAATTAGTCCTAGGTTTGTTAATACTTCTTTTAGATCTGATTCAGCTTATCTCCCACTTGCAAAAATGCTTCTCTCCTATTCTCTAATCTGAGAACGACATTGCAGCATGAGCTTTTCCGAGAGACAAAAGAGATGGAAAGAAGAGCTTGATCAAGAGCTTGAAAGGAAGAGAGGCAAGTTCTATTTCTCTGTACATTATTTCAAGTTCATTTAAGCTTATTAAGAGATGTGGTCACAGTGTTTGAAACTTAAAACTGAAGTTAGCACTTTCTTAACTTTTGCATCATCATACATGGAGAGGTAATGATAAGGGTTAATGCTGCTTGCTAAACGAGGGAATGATGAGTTCATAATAGTTTAGTTCTTGTGTTTGGCATAACTTAATCATGTTTTCCCATGACTTAATCATGTTTGAATAGTTCAACAGTGGGCCTCTGCTCTGTTTTTTCTCATGGCTAATATGACATTGTGCTTGTTTCTTGTTTGGTTAAAGGTCATACACGTTCAGATAAGTTATTTCCCTTTAGATGTCTAACAAGCAAAATGTCTATTACAGAGATGCTGCGCCAGGCAGGTGTCGGAGGGAAGACATCATCTCCAAAGGAAAAGTTTCTAGTTCGACAAAGAGAGCAAATACGGTTTGCATTTCCTGGCAAGTAAATGTATGTACCTTACTTATCTTTATGTTAGTGCCTAATGGAAATAAAAATCATGCCTTTCCATTGGGACTGTCCATTTCTGTATTCTATTTTTGGTGAGAATGGTGCCCCAATAATCTGTAGTGGTCACTCCGTTATATATGTGCTTGAGTAGCAGGCAGTATAATCTTCCTCCCTGCTATATCATGCCCTTGTTGTTCAGCAAAAGCAATTTAATATAAGCATTTGTGTATGCTTTTTATTTTTCCCATTTTTGTCACGTACACTTCTTTAAACTGATGTATGTTACTGAAATTCAAGCAAAGAAATATAACCTTCCTTTTTTTCTTTTTTTTGAATTTTTGCTGAAACTATGACTTGTACAGTCCAACCTGGATAAAGCAGGTACAAACATTGTAGCATTCTATGGTTTTTATCAGGAAACAAAGGGAACTTGGATCTTGTTATGTTTGATGCATGAGACTGCGATTCAATTATACCTTGGACAATAAAAGTTCACTCTTTTCATGGTAAGGTAGAAATGAAAGAAAGAGCAAACTAAGACGAGAAAGGCCACCACACAACTCGGCTATAGGCTTTGAAATAATGGGTCCCATTGATTAGGTTGGGTCCAAATATGATTTTTTAGCTTAATGGCCCATTGCATTTGGTTTTAATATGTTTTAAGCAGCACAAATTTTAAAGGCCATGAAGCTTATTTAATAATTAAAAAAAATAGCCCAAAGAAGAAATTTTCAAAATAACTGTATGCATTTCCCTTGTCAATATATTAACATAACATAAAAATTGTTTTGTTAATTTTTTTTTAAATTTGTAAAAGACTTTTACAAATTAGATGATGTTAACTGATTTGTAATTTCCGGCTTCCACTGTGGAGTAATTTCATTCCTTGCTTGTTGCAAAGATTCCCCATCATGGTACTGCAAGAATCGTGGTTACTCTTTTATTCTGAGGTTAACCCCATGAGGCTCTAAGGGAGCTTATTGTACTTTTAAATTCGGCAAAGTTATTTTTAAAAGAAAAAAATTATTATTATTATTAGGTTAGATAAGATATTAACTCTTTGCGTTTTAAAAAAATTGTATTATTATTTACTTACAACATCATTATTAGTTTTCAATAGCTTCGTATATTTATGCCGGCCGTTGAACACATCTCTTTTCAAAATGATAATCAAGAGGTAGCTAGATTCATCCCCCGCCGGGAGAGGAGAAAAGAATATTGCACTTTTTACATCACATCATATAGCCAATTTGAATTCTTTGTATTTATCTAGTACATGAATTCAAAATTTTTCAAAGAATCTTGAATAAGAACCTTTGCATATTTCCTATTTTCTGTTGCAGAGTGGGGGAGTCCAAAGATATTTGAAGTTATTGGTAGGCCTAAAGATGGATATATCTGACCAATAAGCCGAAGGCATGTAAATGAAATAATTGTGTTTGATCTGCTTACCATAACTTGAATCCTTCATGTTTCATGACTTTACAAACTTAATTGCCTGCACCCAGTCTGCTATAATTCCTTGATGTTTCACCTGCCCATTATTCCATGCTATAAAACAATAATGAAAACATGGTTTTCGAACTATGCATTCATGCTTTAAAACGAAATCATTATTTGTTGAAGTCAAAGAAGCACTAGCTAAGCAAGAAAGCAATTGTTTGTGGAGAAAGGAGAGAACAAAAGGACCTGTTGAGCCACCCAGGCTTGAGTTTGGGCCGCCCTTAAATTGTCTTCTTGCTTCCAAAATTATGTACCGGATGGAACCTGTCTTGGCATGGTTTTCTGTCAAAAAGATCCCAAAATATCTCTATAAAAATTCTTCTTGTTCCCCGACTTTGATGGTATTCTTCTGGAGAAATTTTTATTATGTTGGTTGGTGAGGTCAAAAATATAATGAAAAGTTAGCTATATAACTTTTGCCATATATATATTTTTCCTTTTATGCATGGAGAGAGGAAGGTTTTCAGGAAAAACAGAAAGCAGCATGGAGGAAAGCAGGAAAAGCACACTTTGTTTGATTGATCACTCAACTCCTTGACATGATAAGAAGAGACCACAGTGCATGAAAGAAATAAAGAATGATGTTTTATGTAGGTTGAGGTGGGGACTTCTTTTTCTCTTTTCTAAGGCAAATAAAAAGAAGAGAGATCCTGCAGATGTGAAAGACCCAGATCCTGGGAGATTTGCTTGATTATGAAACAGTAAATCAATATAAATCAGACATAATGATAAACCCAAATATGTGGTATTATTATTTGTTTTACTACATGTGATTTTAGGGTACAAATGGGAGGCAACCCATTTGTTTCTTGAACAACTATCCAATTTCATAAACTTGTAATTAGTTCCATCTTATTTTCAAAATGAGAAATGAAAGACTAAATTGATCTGGAAACTTAGGGTTCTTGTTGCAACATTCTTGCACAAATTTCATTCAATTAAACAAAGCCTACAAGAAATTATGGAATTGAAACTAAAAATTATTTGATTGATTGATTGATTGATTATTTTTCTAATGGAATGTTCATGAAGTTAATTTTTCTGATTTAATTTAAGAAATAGTAAAGCCATGATGGGCTGCCTTGATTGATAACACTGGCCAAGAAAACCAAAGAATTCACCATTCTTCTACTATTTTTTTCCCCTCAAATCTTCTTTTAGTTTCCTTTCTAGGCTAAAAAGATCATCCTACTCGGCTACCTCATTTAGATTTTACAAGAAGATACCAAGGTTTTTTTTTTTTCTTGATTATGGCATAAGCTTTGTAAGAATATTAGATTCTTTTGAATATTCTCAATGTAAAAACTAAAAAAGTATCTATAAAAAGTGATCCTACTTGCCTAACTTTTCTCACTTTTCTCTTTCCAAAAGCAAATATAACCAAAAAATTCTCTCTCTCTCTTCACTGCCCCTTTTGCTACATAAAACACAAAGCATTTCATGCCTTTAGAACTGCCAACAAAAATCTAAAAAGGATAAGCTCATAATCTCTAGTGGTCCTAATTGAAAACCAAGCTTAATTCTTCATTTGTTCTTATCTTTCTTTCCCATTTTTTCTTTGCCTCTCCTGCTATAATTCAACTTGAGTGTGAGTCTAAAAGAACCCAATTTTTTTCTTTTCTTCCAAAATCTCTCTCTCTCTCTCTCTCTCTCTATATATATATATATATAGATTAGTGCTACGTTAATGAACATGACTTTTTCCATAGCCTCAAGCAATTTATGAGATTTGCACTCAGGGAAAGAGACAATGGGGTGACATAGATGGCATTAATGAAAGGAAATAAGGATTGAAGGAGGTTCAATTGCTTTTATATGGAATTATCCACAGATATGAGACCATATGATTTTGCCACCACAAAAATATTGGAGAATCTAATTTTCATGTTTGAAAAGTGGAGGAGATTCTGACTATATTTCATTTTCTTTTTACATGTACATATATATTTGTGTGTCTATACATGCATGTACGCGTTTTCCTTAACACGTAACAAATTATTTATTTGTATAGTGAGATTGTCACATCAATAAATTTATTTATTTATTTATAATTTACTTTTAATTTTTATAATAAATTTGTATTAAATAAAAAAATAAATTTAATATCAAATTTTAAACTTTTAACATAACGAATAATAATCGACGTATTAAATTTAAAATTTACAAGTTCAAAATTCCATAAAATACACAAGCAATACTTCATCTTCTTATAAATTAACCAAATCAAACTTTACTTTCTCCTTTCTTAATGTCACACACACCCGACAATGACTATCTAGCTAGCACTTGTGTTTTTTTCTGTAATTTCTTTCTTCAAGCAAGGAGATATTGACACACACATTATATTAATAATTGAAACATGGCGTTGTTCATGAGCAGGGGCCTACAATATTATCCATATATCTGAAGAGTGAAATAGTCAATTTGTTTGTCCCTTGGAGCAAGGGGACTTTCATCTCATTTGTGTCAAAGAATGGGTGCGGCTGGCTCGAACATTGGTGGTGGTGGTGGTGGTGGGGTCTAATGGAGGATGATGGGTAAGTTTCTTCCATGACAGTGGTGGTGCTGGATCCTTTGCTTTTGTTGGTGACGCCACAACCAGGTTGACCCACGAAAACAGCTCCTTCTTCTTTTATCATTATTTGCCCTTTAAATTTCAATATTGTTTTTTTTCTCTTATTTTCATTGTTCCCCCAAAATTAACTTGAAATTTAATTTTTTTTTCCCCATCAACTACCTTCTCTTTACACGTATAAAAATTACAAATTCATTGTGAAAAAGCACGTATGCATGACAAATTAAAAAAAAAAAAACAAACAAACAAACAAGCCCCACTTAACAAAGGAGTGAGACAATCATCCCCAACCCACATCTCCTTTCCAAAAGCATTGCACACTGCCTCAATAAGTGTAGTATGACCAATTGGCTTTCCAGAGTTTTTCTTTGGGTGGGGGAAAGATAGTGGAACTTTCTCTTCTTGTGGGTACACAAATGGAAACCAAAGATTTCCAACTCCTTAACAACCAAGATTGCTCAAAGTAATACTAATGCCAAAAAAATAATTCTTCCAACTTTTTTTCTTCTTTGCAAATGTCCTAAAGAAAAATTGTTGGATTTACCTAATATTCCAACAGGTGGCATGTCGTAATTGGTCGCCAATCTTCGCTGTGGATGAGATCAAGAATGATTTGTTGGATTGCACAAGAGCAAAAAAAAAAAAAGAAAAAGAAAAGAAAAATGCAGATACTTAATGGAAAAGGAAATACAAAAAGAATCCAATTCAAAGGAGATGTTAAATCCCTCAAGGTTGAACTTTTTCAAGTTGTATCAACTATTTGGAACTTTAATGTCTGTATTGTAATTTTCAAAAAGGAAAGAAGGGTTTATGCAATATCTCAACTTTTCCTTTTCCTTTGGACATATATATATATATATATATATATATATAGATGAATGGATGGATGGATAGATAGATAATCTTATGGATAAAGAATTTGTTGCTCCCCTTGCATCCAACTTTTTCTTTGCAATATTAATTTTGCTTTCTTTTTTTTTTTTCCCTTGCAATTCCATCACGTGTTTGGTGTTTTCTGTGAAGAAAAAAAGCAATTATAAAAATGGAATTGCATTGCTTAATTGAATCCCTATCCATTTTGCTATAGTCAGCCCACTAAAATTTGTTATAAAGTTTTAAATAAATATTAGATCATATTGGATAAATTAAGGTCCATTGAATTAATTAATTTGCTATAACAAAAACAAAAGGGAGGAAGAAAAGAAGATATATATATATATATATATATATTTGTTGGAGAGAAGAAAAGAGAGGTTGAAATCAATCATTTTCTTTTTCTTTTTTATTTTTCTTATAATTTTTGCTGTCTAATTGTATTGTTCATTTGAATTTGTGTAAACCATGTTCAAGACACGATGGTGAATGCATGTTCACAGAAAGCAAAATCTGAATATCTGGCTTATGCCATGAATATATTATAAATTGATACCCTCAATATTCTACCATTTTCAGGGTCCTGCTTTCAATCCCTTCATACCCTTTTGGCTATCGAATATTACCCACTCATTGCATCCAACCAATTCTTGAAAAGGTTTAATCTTGAAGAAAATGTCCTCTCCTCTCCTCCAACAGCCTGCAAGGACCACTCTATCTTTGTTTGCAGCAGTAGCACTAGGTTTTTTAACTTGAAAGGTTTAAAAGCCAGATATCTCAAGTCTTTTTAACTTAGCCTAACTGTAGTTGACAATCTTCTTATGGATCGGCTAACTAATATGATAATACACATCTCCTCACATCTCCTCACATGGCCAGGATGCAGCTATTGTACTTGTGTACACATATGTAAGATATGGTTCTCTGTCAAATCACCCGAATTGAAATTATTATGAGTTTATGTGGCACACATATATAGCCTATCTTCTTGTCGTCACTTTTCTCTTCACCTTTTCCAGTTTAATGCTATTTTTATCTTTTACCTGTACAAATATACTGAACCATGACTGCACATATACCTTGACCATACAAGATATCTAGATTGTACCCACTCTGTAAGGGAAAGAGAAATTCGGAAATGTTTAATCAGAGTCACCCATATCAAGCCTGAAACTACGCGGGAAGGGAAACAAGAATCTGAATTTCCAACTTCCAAGTTCCAACCTGCCCACGTTCCCACAAACCTAAGAACAAATGGTCGGTTTAAGTGGTTGAAACAAAGACCAAAGTCGCCAGGCAAATCCTTAATTTGACTCTTAATCAAAATAAGAAAAGGCAATCGCAGCACATGCAGAGATCATGGTACGGTTTCAACAAATTTCAACAGCTACAAAAGCCAAAGGAGAAAAAGAAGCTAAGCTATATGCGGATTAAGGTCGGTGGTGGGTGAGTGGTAAGTGCACGGGGGAGAGACTACGACCCACCCCAGATACTAACTTCCCTCGTTTCACATGTAGGCTTTTTCTTCCTGGTCCGTTTTGGCAGAGAGCAAAACGATTGCAATCAGCAAAACCCCAAAAAAAAATTTGGGTTTAGTGTACCAGTAACAGTACTACACCAACTTGCTTGCACTTTTTATTTTGTTTTGATCGACCATTGCTTGCTGTGTGCTGCAACCGAAAGCCATTTCCCCTTATTTAAGGCGTCCACGTCTCCCCCAAGTAGAGGGGACTCACCACTTGTAACCTTTGGGAGATAAAGTCCAAGCCTATTTCTGCTTGTGGTGGCCATGCTGTCATACTGTTATAGAAAATTATTAAAACCCAAAGATGCTTATGTAGATTTTGTCAGAACGTACCGTACGGATGCGAATCTTCCTTAGATATTGTTTTGTTTCTGTTTTGGTTTGCCTCCTTTCCTTTCTGATTCCCTTTTAACGCAATTTATCTTTTTCTCTCTTCTCCTTTTGGGGAGGGATAACGGTAACAAAACAATGGCTGCAATCTTCTGAACACTGACCACTCCTGCTTGTTGTATTGGAAGAGCAAGAAAATCTGGACTCGAGATTTCCCTTTTTCTTCCTTTTTTTTTTCAAATTTTCATAAATGTCAAGATTTTACTCATCATATTGCACCTATTCATAACGATAAGATGAGTCAGATCATACTCATCTTTATCACAATCATCCGACTCTATACGATGAGCTAGGTACTCACATGAACCCATAAACTTATTCCCTTCTATTCTGGTGTATAATTATTATCATTGAACCTCTTATATAATCAAAATAGATAAATTAATTAATAATTTAAGTTTATAAGTATAGATTTTAAATTTCAAAACAAGTCATCTTGTAGATCAATATAATCATGTTATATAATAATATACTCGATAAATTCAAATATAAATGATAATTAAATTTATTATGTCAGTTTTTATAATTCTACCATTTACGTTAGTTTAATAAATTTATTGTTATTTATCTAGATTTTTTGAGTTTCAATGATTATAAGAAATTAGATTGATTAATCGATCAATAATTATTTTTTTTATTTATCTTTTTTTTTGTATATTTAAAAAAAATTATCTTTTTTTACATGTTAAGAGGATGCTTTAAATAATTAAAATTTGAGATTTCACTTTTGAATTTTACAAGAAATAAAGATAAAATTTATCGAATCGGGGTAAAATTGCTTTTCGTTATGTCAATCGATGCAATTATTTTACCTTGGTTTGACGAATAGCAAAAGAAGAAATTGGACTCGTTTTTACAGTGTTATGCATGAATGTTGTTGAGTTGGTAAATGGTGCACTACACATTATTCAAATGTCGTACACCTCATGGAGTTACATTCAACGAACTTTTATCTAATGGAGTGATGGCCTCCATTTTTCAACGCATCTTTCTCCTGAGTTGCATTGGTTATTGTAGTGCAAACAGGGCAGTTGACCTTGCTGCTGGCACCTTTTTCTTTGGAGAGATTCCTCGATTTCATGGAGAGACAAAAAGTATAGCTACACACAGTCTACTACAAATTAAAGCAAAATGGTGTACTGTTTATAAAAGTTTCATGGATTTTACTTAAAAAATTGTTACCCTATGCTAAGAAAGTAAAAGGTTTAAGATTCAAATTCACCTTTCCTCCCTCAACATTCTTGTGTATCACCAAAGAAATAGTTTGAATTGTGTGACTGTGATTGAACCCCTTTGTTTTTTACTCAAATTTGAACCGAAATTTGTCACCCAAAGGACACGTTTGGGAATCCAACCCAACAAAAATAAACCAAACTTAACTGCTGCCTGACATCTTCCGAACATTTGTGATAGTTAAACAACTAGGGGCCGGTTCCCAACCTCTCTCATATTATTTGTCGAGTTTGAAGGGGTTTTTTTTTTTTTTTGTTTTAAATGATTGATCAACCGTGTTTCTCTTAGAGTATATTACCAAGTATTTGATATTTACATTGAGTGTGGATGATGTCTTTGTCTTCACCTACCCGTTTTTAAGAGAAAACACTAGAGTGAAGTTTGTATTTTATATGAGAGGGGGAGAGAGAGAGAGGGCATCTTCAAATAACGATAATAACTACCTACCGAGAGAACTTTCCTTGAAAGTCGAAACAGAGAAATTCAATAGGAAAAAAAGGGGGGAGACAAAAAGGGTGGAGGACAAACTAAAAATTGTGGGAATTTGATTATGGAGACAGAGATCCAAAATAAAACTTTAGGATGTAGCCACCCAAAAGGCTCCCAATTTAACAATCTTTCTTCTCATGTTCACCTTCTTTGCACCTCCCTCTGCCAGGACCTTGGAACTTTTTCAATCCCATTTCAGCGCCGACGTCCGCCCTTTTGCCATCCATACCCTCCTCCATGTATCCACTGTATTCCTCTTCCTCTGCCTCTTCCTCTTCTTCTTCTTCTTCTTCGGCTTCACAGTTGCTATCGTTTTCAAACTCTTCTTCTTTATTGTCTTCACTGCTTCCTTCACATTCATTGTCGGCTATTGCTTCTTCGTAGTCAAAACTTGAAGTAGAATCTTTCAAAAGGCACAGTCGAAGGCGGCCATTGCTTCGTTCAGCTTGAAAAAGAGTGTTTGCTGATGGGGCCTTGACAGCTTTGATTACTAACCTCCCGTCTTCACGGTGGGGCCTCACATGAAGAGATTCCGATCCACTTATCGTTGTCAGAGGAGGTGGAAAATTTCGAGAAGTTGCTTTCTTAGCTCCAAGCGGTTGACGGGGTTTGTGTTGCTTCCTTGTTGGAGAATTTCCGCCTTCAGAATCTGATGAAGTCAATACGAAAATGCTGTCCTCAAGGATGTCGCTGCCTGTCTCATTACCCAAGTTCTCAGTGCATAGTTCCAAGCTCTTCTCACTTAGTGTGGACAGAGAACGCTTGACTAAAGGATGAACATAAGTGTTTTCTTTCTCTACAATCTCTTTTGAGGATTGGGAGCAGGTGGAGAGAGCTTGTAGGAAGCTCCAGCCACCCGAGTCAGGACTTGAGGAAGTATGCTTATCATGAAGAGAATCAGTTTTCTTGCTAACTTCTTCATCATAACAGCATTTCCCCTCAACCTCTTTGATGTTAGAATCAAAGCAACACGATTCAAAGGCAAACTCGCGAGGCTGACTGAAGTGAGGTCTTGCTGAAGTTAACTTGAGCCTCAGTGCTCTTGGCTCGACTAGCTGGGACTCGAGACGTGACTGTAGGCCCTGGTGGCACACAATCCTCGCCATAAGGGTAAGGTACGAGAAGGATGATAAAAACAAAAAGAAAAGAAAAGAAAATAGGTTTTATAGAAATGAAAAGCCGACGATCATAAAAATATGCAACTAGCTGGAAGGATATGGAGGCAGAGAAAAAACAGAGTCAGAGCCTTAGGAGAGCATGGGAGGGGGAGAGGAGTAAGGAGGGCGTTGAACATGAGGGATAAGCGAGGGGTGGGGTGTGAATTTGTAGTCCCCTAAAAGTGTCAAAGCCGTATAGCGTAAAGAAGGGAGGGAGAGGGGGGTGCCTTTTAACACCACTTGAATTATACAATTCGTAATCTGCCACACACTGCAAAAGGGAATAAAGACGGAGAAAAGTAGCAAAAAAGGGCGGTATTCTGTTTAATATATTTATTTAACTTGAATTAATGGAATTAAAATTTCAGCAACGAATTTCTTCCCTAAATCTCATGTGGGCAGAATTGTAGGTCTCTTGATGACGTCCTTATCTTGGGCATGGATGTAGTTAAAGAGAGAGACAGATGGGGTGTAACAATAACATTGCTCCAAATTTACCAGCTTTGCTATTCCCTTCCAAAAGAAAGCCAACAAAAGGCCAGGACATGTAGGATTCTCCCAAATATATCTTGATACTGTGATAACGATTGCTTCTTCCTTTTCTTTTCTTTTTTAACTTTTATTGAAAACTCAAGACACAATCCATTGTTTCATGTATGATTCATATGTTTTAAGAGTCAAAACCTGTGTTGATTGCATTCAAAAAATGGAATAATAACGTGCTACTATCAGCACACAGCCTTTGAATTTTCCAGGCAGCACAATTACATAAATGGACATCAAATTCCTGCGGACCAAAGCTCCTCTATGCTAAAATACTACCCAAGCAGAGACAGAGAATGGAGGGCAAGTTCGTCAAACCATCAATGTTTGGCTGATTAGGACGGGAAAAAAGAATGAATCGCTCATGTATTTATAATAATGTTTGCGAAAAAAATAGGTGCTCGGACCGACAGCGTCCGACCCCACCATGGATTTAAACAATAGGAAAGCTTGTGTGAGTCCCACCAGAAATGACTTTGGGCAAGTTATTCAAATATAGTCATGTTACTCAACAATGTTTCACTGTTAATTTATTTATTTTGATGGAGAATACATTCAAGGAATATACAGTCTTCCATCATGTACTTTGCACACTTAATTTGACACTTCGGTTTGGTTTGTGTTAACATCATCCTGTTCTGGCTGTGGTGGTTTTTCATTTAACTCAAAACCTTGTTCAGCCATGATACAGGTAATTGAATGAATAGTTTATCCAGACATCCCTCTAAACCTTTGAAAAAGGAAGATGTGATCCTCCACTAACTCACCCCTTTAGTTTGTCGGCTAGGTGCTTGCCCATGAATACTAAACAAACAGTCTCCCTCTATAAAAAGAAGGGAAAAAGAAAAGAAATAAAAACCATCAGACGAGAGAAATTGGCAAAATTATGAATAAGAAGCGCTGAAGATGCACCCACTTACACACCTAGGCCATGTGGGTGGGCAACAAATGACCTACCCTAAAAATGTTTAAAGAATGCCAAAGACTCATTAGCCTACAAAAGCTGATGTTAGGACTCATTGCTATTTGAGGGCTTTGCGGTCGTGGGTTTCCTAGTATAGAAAAGCTCTGTTCCTAGCACCATTTAGAGCTAAAGGGGAGTCGCTGGCATCTGTGAACATCACAGTTTGGTACCTGTACTGTACAATACCTTTTGCACGTTGCCTTTCTGTGATTACACATGCATGAACAAGCGCAGGTTTTGTTCCAAAAATGAAAAGCAAGCACAAATTACATTTTCTTTCCCATATGCGGCAGTTGTTTATGCTTAGTTGGGGCTGATAAGCGATGGCAGAAGCCTAAGGGGAGATATCCAGTACTAACATTTATATGGAAGGAAACCAGAACTGAGCCGGGTAAAACAGCAGAGCACATGATGCACCCGACAAGATATTTTTGGGAAAATATTATGCGCATGTACCATTGTCTAAACATTTTCTAAAATAGAAGAACAAAAGTAAACATAATTTTTACATTCACTCTTTTTTCCAAGTACATTGTACCCCATTGTTATGGATAAAAGATACTGGCTTACTTTGTGGTCAGTTATAAGTTTCTCGCTTTCCCTAGATAAGCCAGTCAGAGATTGTGAATAGAGTAAATGTGTGGTAGATGCTTCAAGGAAGACTTTTCATGAAATCTGTCATGTTTCAATCATTTTTCCATTTCCTATATGAATTACAACAAATATTATGGCGATTGTCAAGCAGGCAGGCTTGACTCTCATAATTTTCCATGTTATAACTTCCTCATTCTAAGACATGACGGAAAGCAGATAATCTCTCTATAATATGGCTTTTAGTAGAGCAATAGCAAGCAGGTGACCTTTTACATTTGCAATTCTTTTTGTTGTTTAATGCACACAAAGTCTGCAACCCATCCACTCAACTTAGAAATTATTTCTTGAGAAAAAAAAGACAAGAAAATCCATAATGGAATTATTCGTCACCAGATTTAAACAGTCAAAAAATAGAAACTAAATTTTCATGCCTGTCTAAAAAAAATTTCAAGGTCAAATTTTATGTATGAATATCCTTAATATCCAAGCAAAAAACATACAAGATAAGAACAAGAAAAGACCCTCAATAAGATTTACTATATGTTTATATATACCAAAAATGAAGTGGGGAAAGGGGGAGGAAAGGATGCCGAGAGAGAGATTACCCTGTTCAATCAAGCCCCAGTATCCTTCCCGATATCTTCATAATTAAAGTTACAGCATCCAGTTCCATTTGGCTTGGGGTCGTTTTCCCCATGATAGGTCAAACTAGATAGATCCTCTCCCTGTAAAGTAGAACACCTGGTAATTAAAGAACAAAAGCTATAATTAAGAAAAATCTGAGGTCATTACAGTTTTGAATTCTACTCATCAAAGCTAGTTTTTTTTTTTCATTACCATGTCCCTTTTGATTGATAAATAATTGAATCAATACAAGGGTAAAAAGGAATAGATGTGTATTTAAACAAAATGACCTTGGTTGTAAGCTTTCTTCATATTAGGGTTTCTTACTAAGCAAATTTATTTAAAAAGAAAAAAGAAAACAAGCAAGGTGTGGACACAACATTAGAATATCACACCATTTTGCCCAGTAGATCAACACATTACAACCCCTAACTTCTGACACTCAAAAAGTCCAAAAAAGAGCAATTCAGAAACAGCATATTAACAGATCTCAGGTACTTGACCCTCAAAGGCAATCTTTCCCTAATATCTATTATCTAAATATGTGGTCCTAATTCCTCAAGCACTAGCCATAAAACTGAAGAAAAGAAGTCTAGTACCCTTTGGTAGCTCTAAACGAGCATTCCTTTCAGCCCTCTCCTAGTACAAAAGGTTCTTTATCAGTCTAGCAATAATTATGCGCCCAAACTGAAAGAAAGAAAGCAAGAGCATAATATTTGCATCAAAATATGTTTGGTTTCTTTGATTGTATTTAACCCAATGCCCTTTACGACAGAAAGGGAATGAAATTTGCATCAGAATCCATCAATATTTGTTTGATTTTGTTTTAAGTAATGGAGAATCATTAACCAAGAATACGTCATGTCCCCTTGGCATTAATTGAAGCCTAAAGTTAAGCCTTTGATTTTTTCACCATAATCCATATTATAATCCAAACTTTAATAAGAAAAATGAGAATCCAGTTCACAGCTGAAGTAAGCACATAACAAAGCACCTTCCGACCTTTATGACCATGTTAGTGCCACCTTTCACTATCCATTTTAATTATTTTAATTCTTTTAAAATTCAAAAAGGACAATAGAAACAAAACAGGCAGAGACTACGTAATCCATGCAAACATGTCATAAAACTAATGGTCAATTTATTACTAATGACAAGGCAAGAATAAATTTATGCATTGTGCCCATGAAATAACTTTAGAAATGGAATGTAAACATCACAGTCGAAGGTTAGCTTTACAGACAGTGACAAAACTATGGGGTCTATTTCTCAACCAGCAGGCGTGATTAAGCAAGGATGCTCCTACAACTACAATGATGATTATCAATATTTTATTTGTTAGATTATCTATCACCGCCAAGCTCTACATAAGTAATATAACTGATTTGAAGAGCCTCTGCATTTGGCCTGCAAGTATTTTTTTTTTTAAATCTAACAATTAAATAAAAGTACCATTTGATAAAGTTAATGGACAAAAGGAATAATCTTCCCTACAGAAACTTAGAAAGCTTACATAATAGCAGGACACTTTTAAGAAGACTGGTTACATTCCAAGAAAGGTTTTGAAGCTGCACCATAAACCTTGCTACAACTTTCCTCTGAGCTTGGAAACATATTTCTCTTTTCTTTTCTTTTTTTCCCTATTTGGGAGAAAGAAAAATAAGTTGATCAAAGCTGTAAATAAGACAGCCACCTTAGAATTAGCACAAAAATAAATAGGACTGTAGTTTTCCAATAAGACAACTTTGTAATATCGATGGGACTAAAACTTAAAACAGTCTAAAGAAAGAATCAAATTTAAATGCCTTACGAAGGCATGGAAATTTTTCTTCAGCATGGAATGCCCTTTCACTCCATACCTGACATGGCATGCTCAGAAACATGTCAACCACAGCACATGACATTATACCAATTGGCAATCTATCTTTGATAAATTATAAGATTATTATCAAACAAAAAAAAAACTATAATGAATTCCTTTATTGAGAGAAATCATTAAGATTAAATAAACTATGTCGACCACACTTCTAAGAAGCCAAATCTAATTCAGAAGCAAACATGTGAAAAAAGAAATTCATTAGTATAACATATATTGTGATAATTTTTATGCCCAAAAAAATTAAAAAGATAATTTCAAGTACATAAACCCTACAAAAGTTCATCTTTTGGCTCATTGATCAAATTTAATGGATGCCAAATATATCAAAAACCATGCAATTGTAGTTGGTTACTCTAGGTTAGACAATTCAAAAAAAAAAAAAGATAATTTTCTTGTGCATGAGATGCTCTGAACAATCACTCCACACTATTTGGCAAGCAAGCAGCTTGGGGTATGTAACTTTTAGGTGAAATGTATGTATCAGCATAGGCATGAGTGCAACCCATTTATGATCAATGAGTCATCACAATAATTGTTTTATGAACTTCACTCTTTCATAAAAGGTTCTGTATCATTTTTAAACCTTTTAATCCTTGCTGTACCAGAAAGATTGTGTTACTCGTCTGTGAAACCTCATTAAGAAAAAAAGACAAAAATATTGATGTATCACTTGTGGTTTAGACTTTAGCTGTTCTTTTCCTTCCTTTCTTTTTAAGGGTGGGTTGAGCCTACTTTTCCCAAAACTTCCACTAATCTTATTTGAACAATGAGAAAAGTTATCACCAATCTTATTGCTCGTAATAAATCCTGACAAATTAGGCATTAATAATTTGAACTGCTATGAAGGTAAAACCAAAAATTTGAAAAGCATCATGATGTCAGCCACTAACAACTAATTTTGCTACAATAAAATATGGTCTCCCTGGATTGCTTGTGATTCCCTGAAAATAGTAGAGGCCTTGAAAACATTGTTGCACCTTGGAGATTTGATTATGTCATTAATCATATTAAAGACAGTGGTGCAAAGTGCAAACTGGGCCATAATCTTCATTTATGCTTCTATGTAGGAAATGTTGTCACTGACTCTATATGAGAGTGTACACCTTTTACATAGATAGCTTGCCTAAGGATCTTGATAGTGTAGTTCGTACAACTAATTTAGAGCATGTACGTGCAAGCTAATGAAAAAGAAAGAGAAAGAAAGAGAGAGAGAATTGACCTTTCAAATTTCTAAATACTTATTTTCATAAGGAAGAACAATCACTTGACATGGAACATAAGTGAGGGATAATATCCCAGTAACAAGGAATCAAATCACAGAATGCACGAAAAAGGTTGCAGCTTTTAGGACGTTGCATAAATTCTTCAGCAATATACATACAGGTGGGATTGGAGAAAGAAGGTAAAGAAGAAGACTGATTATAAATTTATTCTCGAAGAACAGTAAGGTTGAGATGTCAAAATGAAATATTATGTTGCAGACCTGGATTTGCTGAAAGTGTCTGATTAGTAATATCCTAAAATAAAGAATTGGATGTCATCAAAACACAAATTATATTGTAGACACGTGTAGAACTTCAAATGCAATACATTGTCAGAATTGCAGATGTATGTTATTGGTGTTAGAATTTAGGACATAAGCACATCAAGTAACAAAAGCACTCCACGAGATATAAGGCAATGAAATGAGGTCGAGACCACATTAGCTAAACTGTAATTGACCAGAATACTATTGCAAGTTATTCTACGAGCTGTTGATAGGCATTTCTTTAAGAAGAAAGCTTCTTAATGTACACAATGTAATGTTGCAAGTTGTGTTATTTACTATATGTAGGGATTTCTTGCAAGATGAATCCTTCTCTGTTTTTAAGAATCCTCTGTTTCTATTTTGTATTCTCTTAACCAGTATGCTATTTCTCATGCTGTCACTTTTAACAATTCAAATTCAACAAATGAAACAGAAGCCCTCACTAACTTCTTTCAATTCGACTTCATACTAGGTTTCTCTACACCCCAAATTCTTTGAACAATAATTGAAAAGGAGAAAGGAAAAACATTATTTACTGACTAGTTCAATAATGGAAAGAGTTATGCAAAATAAAGCTGCGTTGTGGCAATTTAATACCATTCAAAAGAAATTCTGGTTGCTGATCAATTCTTCAAAAATGGCATTCATATGAATAGCTTTTGCCCATTAACATACTCTAATTAGCATCATGAAAAAGACATAAATGCAAGATGCTGAAGTTCAAAACAGCTCAAACAAGGTTCATACATCTTTTGGTTCCAAGAGTTTGATGTGCAAATAGATAAAACTTTCATTTGAAATTATACTATCAATAAAATCCTCTGATCAACATTAGTGCACACGTCATCCAACAGCTTCTGAAAGGTGATTCATTCAATGAACACATTGAGCAATGAGGTAAGCAAAGCAGGAAATGATATAATGTTAAGGCCAAACAAACAGAAATCCAACAGGAGAAATCTTTGTCTTATGTAAAGTATTATAAAACAACAACTGAGAAAGGTATGGCTTGCAAAAAATTACAAGTGTGGCATCACAACAAAGGGAAAACAGGGTATGGAATATATTGTATACTTGACATAATTCAACAAACTCTTGAGAAAGGAAACCATAACTAAAACGTACATGGAGATTCCATAACCCATACCTCGTCTTTTGTTCAAGATAGACTCTTTTGTTGCAAAGGGAGCAAATTTTTCCAACCACATGCGGTCAAGATGAAGAGAAACTCCAAGCAAGAAACTGCAACTTGTAGAAAATCAGAAACTGTTTGATGACAGATGAATTTAAGTTGACTCAAAGAAACACATTCTGAGACATATATGACAGTAAAGGGTTAACAATTTCTCTCAGCAGTTCTTTTGAACTCTACCTGCAGGGAATTCTTTGCAATTTAGTAACATATAGACTTTTGTTTTGCAAAGAAGTAGAGGATGTAAGCACAGCAATGACCTAATGAATATTAGAAGTAGTAGTTGTTAAGCATGAGCAAAGCGCAAATAACCAGCCAGCATAAATGAGCTTTGAGAAAATGCTAGAGAGAATTTTCTGCCACCATAACATTTTCTGAATAAAGATTCATGACTCCTTGGGGCATGATTTTAGCGAAAAACATCAGGAATGGAGAGTCCGTGATATATTAAACAGTGGCCTGAGTCAGTATGTTACTGTTTATCAAAAGATAGGCTCATAGACAAGCGTAAATGTGAGTGACCACCTTGAAAGATATCATACGAATAAGTTGCATAGTCCACATTCTAGGTATTGCATAGCATTCAAATGTGACAATTTTCCAGATTTATATCCCAAAACTCAGGCTGAAGCATCGACACCCAAAACAAAGAACTTCTTCAATCTTTTTCAAAGGGCTCTTCACAAACTACTAGCATTGTGCTTTCAAGAGATTGAAGCTCTCCAACAGTGGCATTCTTTTTCAAAGGGCTCTTCAAAAACTACTAGCATTCTGAAGTGCCACTTTAACAATTCTAATATTTGATCTGTTGACTCCTAATGGATTTCACCATCAAACTTACGACTCTTTTGTTTAGTAGTCTTTTCATGAAGAAAGTCATGTAGCTTTAATTTAATTCAAAACCACCATGATTCATTTTCGAAGACAAGAACAAACAAATCGTAGTTTGTTCATCGGCCTAAATTTGCAAAGTGGATTTCATTTCAATGGTCTGAACATCAAGCATCTTCTTTGAAATCATTCAATTGACTGACACCGATAGTGTCATTTAGTCCAAATGCATAGAAACTAGACCACAAACATCAACCGCATGATATCATCATCACCCTCATCATAGTCATTGTTATCATCGATTTGAGCTATTGACTCAAATGACTCAAATTGATTTCAATTATTATAATTCCTTCAAAAATATTCGATTCAAAAAATCAAGCGTGAGAATATGAACAACGTCATTTCTTACATTGTAATATTTTAATGCATTTTCCATCAATTTTTTTCAGAATCTGACATGGCAATTTATCTTATTATTATATTTTAATCAAGTCAATTAATTATAAATTCCATTGGTAAATGTGATTAAACAAGAATCAGAGCAACAAAATAAACATTTACTTAACCGAAAGTGTGATTCCACGATTGCCGAGAAAATAAAATAATGAGAAGTAAAATAACGGAACTCCAAAGAAAATTAAAAAAGAAAATCCGCAGAGATTATGAAAAGAAACGAACCTTGAAAAGAGCAGAGGGTGAAGCTAGTAGCTGGCGCCATTTGCAACCACGAAAATATGGCTTTGAATTTATATATTTCGTGCCAAAAGAAAATAAAAAAGGTTAAAAAGCGATTCTTCGATGGTGAGAGGGGCGCACCCATCGCGCGCGGAGTACAGTTTGATTTTGGTAGCCGTCTTAGCCGGGAATATCCATGAGTATTGAAAATTTATGAAGAGTACCCTTGAGTTATTAAAATTACAAAATGCTCCCGGAAGGTTTTTGGAAATTTCACTCGTGGACCTAAAATTTAAGTCATTGCACGGGTGATGAGGTCTTGGTAAGATTACTAATTGAATTGAAGTCACCATCAAATGGTTAAAACCATGAAAGTTTTACACTTTTAATGGTACAAATGATAGTCGATATACTAAATATTTTCGGTATGAACAATTAAGTTTGAAAAATATCCATTAAATGCAAAACTAATCAATTTTAATATCTGATTTTATTGTAGTTATATACCGATATCATTATATCTAATCAAACACAATATTAAACAAAATGTCTTGAATTATTTAACATTATTCAATGTGATCAATTAATATATTCAATTGATTCCTTTAATGATGTACCTTTAGTGATCGTAAATACATTTACGAATTAAAAAATTTTTACAATTTAAAAAAATTTAAAACTAAAATTGAGGATTTTAAAATTTTTATATATTAACCAAGTAGAAATAATTACATTAATTTTATTCAGCCAAAAGACACTTATTTCGTAAATATATTTCTTACATTACGTGAGTAATAGATGCAAAATGAAAACAATTTAAACTTGATTTAATAGTTATTACTTTACTTAAAATGATTAAATTCCAAGTTAAAATTTTTATTTTTTACTTATACATCTTCATATGTGTAACAAACATTAGAAAGAAAAAAAAAAGGTAAAAAAAAGCAGATATGAAAGTAGTTAAAGTATTTGACTTTCCGTTTCTCTTAAATAATTTAAAATTTCAGTTTAAATAAGATATACCATTTGAAATGAAGTTACTACCAAATGATAGATTTTGTTTCTAACTTTTTGCTAAATGCCTAAAGCATGAAAGTTTTATACCTTTAATCATATAAATGATTGTTAGTATAACGAGTGATTTTAAGCATGAAAAATTCTCATTAGAGGCAAAACTAATCGCCTTTTAAATTGGATTTAGTTATGTACTGACACTATTATCGCATCTAATCAAATACAATCTTAAACTGCATGTCTATAATTGTATAACATAATTCAATAATTAATCAATTAATATTTTTAATCGGTTCTTTTAATGATACGCATTTGATGGTTATAAGCAATTGCTATTTAGTTATTAAGTTTTGATTAAAATTAATGATTCAAAGTGTTAGCATATATCTACTGGCAAAATCTCTTTTTAATTAAAAAGCAGCGTTATAATTCTAAATTGATTCTAAAACACTTTCATTAACTAACTTAAAAACTTACTATGATCAATGATCAACATATTAATTCTTTTCAATATTTTAAAAAAGAGAAAATATTTAAAATTTCACAATTCTAAAAATAAAAAATCGAATTTGAAGATTTTGAAATTTTTATGTACTCCCTAAGGAAAAATAACAACGTTAATCTTATTCAATTAAAAAATACCTAACTTGTAAATATGTTTATTACGTCACAAGGGTAATGGTAATAGAATGTAAATTTGAAAACAATTTAGACTTAATTTAATAATTATTACATTACTTCATTCCAAAATAAATAATTATTACATTACTTAAAAAGATTGGATTCAAATTTAAAATTCTTACCCTGTACTATACCTCTTCATATGTGTAATAAAGAAAAAAAGACAAAAAAAAGCAAATATGAATCATCTCCATTAATATCATTTCCATATATATGTAACTAATTACTTTAAATCTTTGACTAACCGTTTCTCTTTGGTAAATCATCCCTCTATAAAACGCTTACATGATCAATTAATTCAAGTGAAACCCGAGTCGTGTGCATCGATTTGCTCGCGTTTTACCTTTTACATGCGTCCTTGTCTTTCACCTGGTAACTCTTTGTAATAATAATTGTCCCTTCACTCTTTTTCAAGTGAACAAATCGACGAAGATCAATATCGCTTCCATTTTGTTTTGCCGAGGCATCATGGAGAAGAAGCAGGTACGCATATCTGTATTCCATTTGATCTATGTTTTTGGTCAGCATATCTTCTTTCTTTTACACATATTAAAATGATATTTAGACATTTAATTCAACGGTTAATGATATATACATTTTGTAAAGAGAACAGGTTCGAATCATCTCTCATTCAAATAAAAAAACGTATAAAATATATTTTAAATTTTTATTTGATACATATATGTATTTGTCAACATATATATTTATTCACATGTGCATATATGTTAACTGAATCTCTTTATAAATGCTCTCTACTTTGTATGTTAGCTTAATATCTTTGTGAGTATTACGTTAATTACTACTTGCCAATTTGCGTATATTAGATTAAACTCTTTGTACGTAGAGTTTGATTGTTTTGTAATAAAATATTTTTTGAAAAATATTTTCAAAACTTAGACTTATTTGGAAGATAGAAAATTAATTTTAGATGTAAAATATTTTACGAGTCAACATAATTAATCACGAAAAATGTTTTATGCCTTAATATAAAAGGCGTAAGATATTTTTCAAAGAACAAGAGAAATACTTTTATATTAAGTTTATAAATATAAGTTTAATGAATATTAATATTTAACTTAAAATATTAAAAAAATATTTAACTTTAAAAAATTAATTTAAATGTTAATATTTAAATTTTGTAACACTATTAAAATAAAAATAATAATAAAACCATTCAATACAATTAAAATTTTTATTTATAAATGAAATAAATTTTACTTATAACTATAATAAAAAATATTTCAATAATTATCATTTAATAAACACACATTTATAATACGTTTAAATCTTACTAATAATTATAATAAAAATATTTCAATAATTATCATTTAATGAATACATATTTATAAGTATAGGTTTTGGTTATTTTATATAATTAAAAAATATTTGTATTTTTGTAATTATGATAAAAAAGTGATAAGATGGAAAATTTTTGAAAAATTATAGTTTATTTTTATTACAGATATTTAGTTAAATACTTAAAAAAATATCATTATTGATTTTGTCCATATTCATTTCCATTACTAATTTTGATCCCAAATAAGTAAAAATTAAATATCAATATTGTTTTATAATCAAACTCTTATTTATTATTTTAACACTTAAATAACTCTACCATAAAAGAAAATATTTTTCATAAAATTATTTAAATAATAATTTTTTTGATAATTTATTTAAATAATAAAAAAATTAAAATTTCCTATAAAACATTTTACATAAAAAAAAATCTTTAACAAATCATTTTTGATTACCAACACATCCATAATTTTGTTTTCTCCGTACATCTTTTAGTTACATTTCAATTGGTTGAGGTAAAAATTGAAGGAAAATGCTTCCATGACAGTCCGTCAATCCCTTTGGGATGACAGCTACGCATGGAACACGAACATAAAATAGTCGGATTTTAACCAATGCATCAAGTTCTACACATACACGTCCAAATTTAAACATGAATGACAAGCATTTTGCTCATATTTTATCTTTATAATTATAAGTATGGTTTTTTATTTTTTACTTCTCTATATTTTACCCTGTTTGATATAAGCATTTTACTTGCAAATAATAATTTATCTTTTTCACTTTTAAGTAGGATGTTTTTACATTCAAATTTTACTTAATTTTTATCTTCCTTTTAAAGAAAAAAAAATTTAAACATCTTTTTTTAACTAATAAAAACACCATTTTTGTGGTAGGTGAATTTTGGTCAAACATTAATCAACCTTTCTCTCCACCCAACCCAATTAATTTCGAAAGCTTGCTTGCTTAGCTTCATAGCATATTACGGACATTGAAAGTTAACAAACCTTTTATCCCAATAAAGGCAATATAACACTTCGCAATTATCAATAATTAGCAACATTAATTCAATCATGGGGCTTCCTTTGTAAGTGATTTAATATTTTCTTTTTGACACTTAGCCCAAGAACAGTAGATAAGTATCCTTATATCTATGGATAAGGATTATCCAACTAGGAACATTACTAATGGAAACCATTAACATCTTTTCGAGCAAACAAAAGTGTCTAAATCATTGAAGAAAGAAATTATTAATCTTACAAAGGCAGAGAATCTTCAACATTAAGATTTTTACTTAAAGATTAAGAATTATAGTGTAGCACTTCCATTATACAAATTATGGTTAGTAACTAACCCTCATTAATTAGCACTCATGCTTAGGGATGAAAACCTTTGTAATTCAAACTTTATTTCTTTGTCACATCTCCATTCGATTATTCACTTAGATTAAGATAAAGTTTGCTAAAATTTTTCTTTTTTTTTTTTCTCAAAGTGTTACCTTTACCAAAGTCGTGTCATGCCTTTTTGGGGTTTGGCTACATAGTTTAGTAGTACTTGGTTACCTTTTTTGTTAAGTTGATGTAGAAACAACAAATAAGACATAATTTCAGAACAAGGTACAGCTTGAGCCGACAAATTAGGTGCAGTTTGGTATAACCTTGCTGGTTAGTTAGTTAATCTTTGGTGGTGGTTCCCGTGTGGGGACACCGTCGAAGAAAATATTTGAGTTAGCTTAAAATGTTTTGTAGCCCATCAGGTGCCAAAAATAGGAAAATATCTATAAATCATCATCTCTGCCTATTTTTTTTAAAAAATTTATTAATAAATTTAAAGCTAATTATTTAAATTAATATACATATATAATATTGAACTTAATGTTTTAAAGCATTTTATTTTCTATAGGTAAATATTGCATTGTTAAGTGAGAGAAAATATGTCACAAAATAAAATCTGGGCTTAATTTGGTCCAATATACGAAACTTGCTGGCCTCTTTGTCCAAGACAAAATTCGAATCAACAAACACGAAGGTCTTAAAATATCAAAACGGTTCATGTTATACACATCAGCACGACTTATTCCCTACAGTTACATTTCTATTTTTTTTTTTTGCACCGAATCACTTACACTTGCAAATGATGTAATATAATAATACTAACAAATTGTGATAAATTAATAAGTTCGTGCATGAATACCACGTGTCATACATCCACAAGTTACGGGAAAGTGGACGTACACGTATAGTATCCGTATTTTTGTAAATTTAGAAAGAGTATGGCAATTTTATGGTTTTAAAAGAATTTTTAGATTTTAAAAATAAAAAGGAATTTTACAGTCGATACGTTGAGGAAATAATAATTAAATTTAAGAAAAATTGGGGGAAAATGAGGTGCGACCAATTCAAAGCGAGGTTCTCGAGAAGAGGAGCCCAATCTGAAATCTTTCTCTCTGAGAGGAGAGAGAGCGCGCGACGACGATGGCGATGCTACAAAGCATTGTCCTTTTCACCCTACTTCTCCTTATGTTGCTCCTCATCATCATCCTCATCCTCTTCGCCTTCAAACCATGGCGCTTCTTCTCCTTCTCCTCTTCCTCCACTCGCTCTCGCACCATCAAGGTACCATCTCCTCCCGTTTCATTTCCTTCATCAAGTAATCTAATCCCGTTTTTTCGGTGTTTGATGAGAGAAAACTTTCGTTGGATTATAGGATAATCTATTTTAGGAGCATTGATTTAGGTTTGATTGTAAATTTGCAATTGTGGATCGTTGCCTTTTGAGCGAAGGTTGAGGTGGAAAAACTTTTTCGAGGCTTTATTTGTCACTAATACATGTTTTATTGATTTGTGGTAGTTGGGAGGTTTTTTTCTATTAGAGTTAATTTCGAGACTGCTTTACTGGGGATTTTTAGGTTGATTCATGTATTACCTATCTCGTGTGCAATGAATCCTAGCGCCGAGTTTAAGTAGTAATGTTTTGAATGAATAGAAAAGGAATCTGATAAGGTGGTAGTATGTTACTCGTGGTTCAACTTTCACTTTGCTGAAATCAGTGGAAATGCAGTGCAGCTGTACTTCATTCGTGAAATTGGAGAGATGCATTCTACTCTTTTTTGATATTTTTTAATATTGCCGTTAGATTTTATGGATGCTAACTGATTTTCAAGTGGATCAAAAGCTGATTGGGGAAGTAACATGTAATCTGTTTTATATTAGCTTTTTGAAATGTGAATTTGAAATTTTGAATCGTGAACGCCGGATATGGAATGTAACATGTAGTTTTTTATTAGCTGTCTGAATAGTGGATTTCTATCATGATTATTGGATATGGCTGTAGTTTAGTGGATTTAATATGGTAGGAAATCTGCTCGGAGATCCATGAGTTCAAATCTGAGCGACTCAACAATGATTGACAGCTTAATGCATATTTGTTAATAGTAGATGCTTACAAGTGCCCTACCCTAAGGGCACTTTGTTAAGCTGCCATTTTTAGAATACATATGCATCCGTTGTAGTAGTTGAGGGTGAATTTTCTGATTTTCATTGCATTTTGACTGAAAATGTTTCTTCAAACATTAGCTTTAAGAAGTGTGTTAGGGAACTCATTATTACGACTGATGTTAATTTCTCCTTTGGATGGCAAAATCTGGAGAAAAGAGAAAAGAGGATAACTTAAATGTTGCTTGCAATTTATCTCATAACTCATTTTTTCAATCTATTGGAAGCGGGAAATTTGGGGGTCAAAAACCAACCAATAGACTAATTTTCCTAATACGTCCACTTATTCCCAAATAAAACACGGAACAAAAACGCTAATATCATATAATTGTCTCATCTTTCTCTTCATTTCTTCCATCATGTCCAACCGTATTGAAATTAAATTTTGCTTTCAGTGATCGCTCTCTGTTTCTCTTCCTTTACTTTTCTCTCATCAATCCAAACACAATCTAAGCGCACATGATGGGTGTAATGTTAGAATCTTTCTTTAAACTCTGCATGTGTTTGTCTATCTAAAGGAAAAACTTGTGATAACATTCTGTATATTTGTTATATTCCTTCCATTCAGTCAAGAGGAATTCTTGGGAACTGCTATGCATTTGTTTCTGTTTGAAACTCCTGTGGCCCTTATACATTTTGACACATTGCACTGGTTTGTAGGTTGGTGACTTGGAAAGGCCCCTTGTACCAGATGATGTAGATCTAACTCAAGAACAAAGCAACGATTTGACAAGAAATTATGATTTAGAGGGAGCGTGCCACCAAAATGAAGCTCTTCTGCGCCCTCCTCGCACTCAAGGGCTTATTCACAAACAACGGCTTCCCTCTGCATCTATCCATTTGACTCAGGGTATTAACTTTATGCTTCATCTTTTATTGATTTTCTCTTTATTGATATGGTTTAACTGTACTCCTGCTTAAGTAACTCCAAATGCTAATGATTTACTTTGTACAGGTGATAGCCTGGTTCTAGATGTAGTATCTGATCCTTCAGAGGATATTTTGGTTGGTCAGACACTAAAGCGTCCATTGGTGACAGATCGCTTAGTTGAAGTGCAAAACCATGGTAGACTACCAAATCAAAGTCAAAACTTGAAATATGGTGTGGAAAATGATAGACTTCAAGAGTTTTTGCCCAAGGCTATCAATGGTCAAAGTAATTTTTTATTTCTCTCATTTGTATTGATCCCTTTTTAGTTGACTGCATGTGTAAAGGATGTAACTATATCTTTCTGTTAGAAGTGCAGGAAGTTGTCTCTCTCTTGAGGTTGTCTCAGGTCCTTCTCGTGGACTTCGTTGTTCTGTACAGTCAGCAAGCACTTCAAAGCTGCCATTGACCATTGGAAGAGTTTCTCCAAGTGATTTATTGTTGAAGGATGCAGAGGTTTCCGGAAAGCATGCAATGATAAATTGGAATTCAAATGTAAACTACTTATGAATTGTATGACATTAGTTTTCATTTTGTTGCCTTGCAGTATGTATGGTGTACTAATTGTTTCCAATAAGTATGAACACCTGCAGAAATTGAAATGGGAGCTGGTAGACATGGGTAGCCTCAATGGAACACTATTGAATTCTCAGCCAATTAATCATCCTGATACTGGAAGTAGGCATTGGGGTGACCCAATGGAACTTGCAAGTGGAGACACAATAACACTTGGCACAACCTCAAAAATATGTGTAAGTCAATCCGCTTCTTTATCTACTCGTAATTCTAGTACTTTTGCTTCTGAAAAATATAAATGGTTTCTAGATAAATTCTATTAGGTTCACAAGTACTGGATTTCGCATGAACAAGAGCTTTTCTTCATTCATTTCTCCAGAATATTGAAGTACTTGCATTTTGGTAAAATTTTCTTATTTAAGCAATTTGATAAGATTGCCATAATATGAGAAAATGAGTTAAAAACTTATATTCTGTCTGTCAGGATCATTATATTGATATAAAATACCTCTGATGAAATAGGGTCATATCCCACTAGCCACATCCATTTTTGACATTCTAAAAATACATAATCTTTTTGCTCTTTATCTGTCCAATACTATTTACTTATTTCAGGGAATTCCCATTTGCTTCTATTTCATAGCTATACTTAAAAAGTGCTCTGGTAAATTGAAGAACTTAACATTAATGGTGCACCATCTGCTGACAGTTGATAGACTGTTGTCCTTAAGATAATCCTATATGGTTAATGGGATTGCAGACAACTAGACGTTGATTGTTTACGTAACTGCTTTAGTTTTTTGATTGACTGTTTTGTCGTTAAGTAATTTCTTTTATGTGCTCATTGCAGATAATAAATGTGCATTTCAGTTGGTATTGTGTGGTAATACTGGATTTGCAGCTAATTTTACTGGTTACTCATTATTTTTCTTCATTGACAGGTTCATATTTCATCCCAAAGTGAGTGCCTGGCCCCTTTTGGAGTTGGTATGATTTCGGACCCTATGTCTTTGCGTCGCGGAGGAAAGAAGCTTCCTATGGAAGATGTTTGCTATTATGAATGGCCTCTTCCCGGCGTTGATCAGGTTTTCAAGTTATTAATTTTATAGTTGATATTTTCCGCTTCTACCATAAATGATGAATCTCATACTTGTGCTGACATTGCAGTTCGGAATATTTGGCATCTGTGATGGACATGGTGGTGTTGAGGCGGCCCAATCTGCAAGCAAGTTAGTATTCCTATTCCATCTTTAGTGTGCTTCCTTGCAAGGGTTTGAAATCGACTCTGACACCTCTCATATTTTGATTATTTTATCAGATAAACCTTGTTTTGCATATAATCTTAATCATGCTTACTAAAGTGTATCATAGTCTTCATGGCTTGTCAAAACTAACAAAGTAATATGCATCTTTTCCCATCTATGTTTCTGTATATGTTGTATTTGTTCAAAGTCTGATAGTATGAGGATCACTATCTTCTGATCTAATAATTGGTATGACTTAGTCTTGGTGTGATTTATTCACAGAATATTATCATATATTCTTGTACTTGATTGTATGCCTTCTACTGTTATTACATAATAGTTAGTGTAAAGAAGATTTCAGACCGGCAAACTCAACCCGTTGAACCACAACATTTTTCACTCACTTGTATTACAGTATATTTGTGGATTGAAGTTCAATATATCTCGACAGATTCTGAAATATTTAATATTTAGGTCTAGTTTTTCCTCAAACGCAGTATGTGATAGATCATTAGCTTTTGAGAATTCTCTTATTTTATGGTATAACTTTGAGCATTCTTGATAAAAGGTTCGTTTCTTCTTCCAGTACCTTTCTCTTCCATGATAACCAGACTGCTTGGTAGCTGAAATTTCCAATTGTCATCTTCCTACATATGCCTGCATGTTTCTGTCGTATTCGTTTCCTTTTATAAAAAAATTGACAGTCATGTGTTTATATGGTCATGGATGATCAATATTGCTAATGGTGCTAGGATATTTACTGAATAGTGGAATTTAGAAAATTATTGGTGTGAATTTTTAACTGTACTTGCCAAGTGAAGTGGGTAGAAGAGCGAAAGGTAAGTGGAATACATAGTAGAAAAGCAAGGAAGAATTATTGAAATACCATAGTGCTTGAAAGGGATTTTTGGAGACTAGTAATTGTCATAAAAATGAGAAAACATTTGTGTTTCTTTATTTATCTATCCTTTTTCTTTTTTCTAGTTTTGTCTTTAATTTTGTTTATGAATGCGAGTGAACAAACAGATTGAGATGGAGTATCATGGTGACACACAATGCATTTTGTAATCATATCATTTAGACTCTGTTTTCTTTTGTACTTTTTGGTTGATGAAGATCTTAAAAAAACATGTTCTTGTCTCTGTTTTTTTTTGCTCCTTCTAAATTTGCAATAATCATATTGAAGGTCTAAATTGCTCTATTCTCATACCACTAGGTATTGAGTTTCAGATTGAAGGTTTCTGATCTGACAAAAAACTAGCAGTTCTGCCCTTTTTAGCTGATATTTTGATTTTGAGATAACTATTTTACTAAAAGTTTCAAGAATTTGATGTCCAGGATTTTGCCTGAGATGGTTGCTACCATATTATCAGATTCTGTAAAAAGAGAGAGGGTTTTGTCGCAATGTGATGCCTCCGATGTTCTTAGAGACGCATTCTCTCAAACAGAAGCATGCATGAATAACTATTATGAGGTTTTTTCCTCGCCTGTTTTTTCTTCTTTTCTTTGTCTAACTTCTTTATGTATTTTCATTGTTGTTTAGTTGGTAAATTTCTCAATAGTGCAGTGGAATGCTTTTATTTATCGTAAGGGCCTTAGTGTATTGTATTTATCCTTTCCGTATTGGTAATTTGTAGATATGCTACCTTGTTTTCATGTTGAACTTTAATCTTCTTACGCAGGCTATTGCATATTTTCCAGTTTGACTTTACATATGCTTTTGGTCTTCACACTATAATTTAATGGGTTATTGTCAACTATTGGATCGCTTTCTTCTGTCGTAATTGAAGTTCATGGTTTGCATATGGTAATAATTATTTCCTTGCAGGGCTGTACTGCAACAGTGCTTCTGGTTTGGGCTGATGGTGATGGAAATTTCTTTGCACAATGTGCAAACGTTGGGGATTCAGCTTGTCTTATGAAGTATGTATTTCTGTTCTTATTGGTCCTAGTAGCGGGATCTGTGGGGTGATGGGAATGTTTTATGATTAGAGTCTATCACATGGAGTGTTGAAATAGTCCCAAGGGAAATATGGGTTATCTTGACACTAAGTTTAATTATGATGGCTTTGGTCATGGCTATTCATAATCATATGTAAGAAATTGCTGTTATTCATACTTAGATAATGTTGTAAGTTGTAAATATGAGATCTGTTGTTGTCAGCTATTCATGAAGAAAGCTAATGGCATCTGTCAAAAGCTAGTTGTGCTACTTGCTTTCATTTTAGCCTATGATACATGTAACTATGACGTTACATTGAAGTACTTATGGAGAAGGACCGTTGTAGTGCAATGCATTGGCTGTTACACTGTCATATTGCTGTCTTACCTCTGGCAGAATTTTCTCATGATTTTCTATCCTTTCATATAAATTTTGTATCCCATTCTGCTCATTTATTTAAAATGAAATTTGCTACCTTAATGATGCATCTAGTGCTGTACTTATGAAAAATACAACTTTAATGTGACAGTGTTGGAGACAAGCAGATTAAGATGACGGAAGACCATAAAGTAACTAGTTCTTCTGAAAGACTCCGAATTGAAGGAATAGGGGAACCATTAAAAGATGGGGAAACACGTCTATGTGGTATGTGCAAGTTTCTGTATCTAATCATTACAGTCAGCACTTAGCAGCATCACAAAAATAAGGTACATAATTGAGTAATTGACCACTTGCTTCAGGTTTGAACCTTGCTAGGGTGCTTGGAGATAAGTTTGTGAAACAGCAAGATTCACGCTTCAGTTCTGAGCCTTATATAAGTCAAGTTGTGCATATCAGCCAAACAAGTGGGGCATTTGCGCTACTGGCAAGGTGATTCTATTGATCTTTGTCATTGTTTAAATTTTTGAATGCTAAAATGTATTGCGACAGTCTCAATGGCATTAAAACCATTTCTTTTATTTACATTTGTTGGTTTAGCACATATTATATGATATCATGATCCATTGAACCCTTTCTGAACCAGTCTATTGACATTTACGAAAAACACTTCAATTTGTAGTTGTTGGCTGTATTATTATATTTTCTTGTTTGTATTCTCTATTTTTTGGCCGTTTCTGTCACATTGTTGGAAGGTGGATCTGATTTGCGCATTGATTACAGCGATGGATTCTGGGATGTTGTTAGTGCTAAGAAGGCAATTCAGTTAGTTGCACAGGTATTGTGTTGTAGCATAATATACAGTTTCTTGCTAGTTTGTTGCTGCGTATCAATATTTTCCTTTTGCCTAATGTAATGTTGACAAAATTTTTTAACTTTTGTGCTGCATAGACGAGGGAGAGACATTGTACAGATAAGGAGAATTTGGCAGAGACGATTGCTAATGTTTTGTTGAATGAGGCTAGAATGCTGCGAACAAAGGATAACACCTCTATTATTTTCTTAGATTTTGAAAGCAGATCTAGAATATCTTGTAAAGTTGATTCTTAATATGAACTTCAAGGTTTTTAGTGTGAATTATGATTAATTTTTTCAATGTTATTTTCTTGAAGTTGCTCTGCTATCCAAGCTCTTATTTTCCCACCGGCATGATGCTTGCATCATCTTGCCGAGATCTTATTTTCTTGTTTATTCACTGTTTTTTCCTTTTTTTTTTTTTGAAAGGCATTGTTTATTCACTGTTAATACTTTGACCTCAAACCAATCCAAAATAACACCTTTGAGCCTAATCCTATCCGAGTCCGAGGTGTAAGCTTGGTAGCTTGAAAGCATCTGCTTGACTTAACTTATGATTTAATTCTAAATTTTAAGATTCTTCTAAAAGAGGTCGTACTTAGAAATGTTGGGAATTAATGTAAATTTTTTTTTACTACAAATGTCAATCTACTTGAATGTACATGGATTCTTGGGTTAAATATAGAAACCGTTACGACCGTTCTTTCTTTTTTGCTCATTACGGAAGACAAATTCTGACCGTCAGATACGTAGATTTGTTGTTTTGGACCGGGTTGCCGCTGGGTCTAGGACTCTGGGCCCACGCTCCGCAACAACACAAAGCCGCAAAAGCCTCCAAAAACCTCTCAGAAAACCCTTGTCGATGGCGCAGTTCAGTTTAACTGTTTCACTTCCGCAGCGCAAGACACACGACTGAGAAATGGGAAAGAAGAAGAGAGTCGAAGTGGAAGCAGAAACCGAACCCCAAACAAACTACCACACGAATCCCAGTCTCCTTAACGGTGATGCTCACAAGAAAAAGAAGAAGAAGAAGAAAACCAAAGCAGAGAAAGAAACCAAGAGTGAAGCAGAAGCCGACGAAATTCCCACCGTTAGTATAGCTGTCGCCGGTTCCATCATCGACAACGCTCAATCTCTCGAGCTCGCTACTCGGGTAAACAACCTCTGTTTCTATTCACTATTTCTGCTCTCTCTCTCTCTTTAAAAAAAAAACATTTTAAACATTTCATTTGGCTTTTCCCTTTTGTACAGTTGGCAAGTCAAATTGCTCGTGCTGCGACTATTTTTCGAATCGATGAGGTCTTTTCACCTAATTTCTATTGATTTAATCCTACATTTTAGTCGTTAATTAGTTAATTAGACAAATTAGCTTGTTGTAAGTGTACTTTGTGGTTTGTATAAGCAGGTAGTAGTATTGGACAGTAAGAGTAACTCTGTGAATAAAGGTTCCTTTTCCTTTCCCACACAAAACAATTCAAATGAAAACGAAAGGGGAGCAGCTTTTCTTGTAAGGATCTTGCAGTATCTTGAGACGCCTCAATATCTAAGAAAAGCTCTTTTCCCTAAGCATAATAGCCTAAGATATGTGGTGCGTATCAAATTTTATTACAAATTTGCAGATTTGATTAAATTCTTTTGTTGTTGTTGTGTTTCTTTTAATGGAAGTGAAGTTAAAGTTGATTTTATGTTTGTTTGCATTTTACAGGGAATGTTGCCTCCGCTTGATGCTCCACACCATCTGCGCAAGCATGAGTGGGCACCCTTCCGTGAAGGTAAGTTTTGGTTTGTGCCCTTTGAATTATTCTCTGTTATATATCCTATGGCAGATGAGATAATGAAATTATTTGCTAAATCATGTATTTATTTGGATAAGTTTTACCTTTTATTGTCAAGTAAACTTAACTCCTTAATAGTCTTGTGAATTGGAAACATATGCAATGTAGTAGATTCTTACTAGGTCAAGGTGTGGTTGTTAAAAGTGATCTGTGGGACAGATAAAAATTTCGAGTAATATATTGATATGGTTTTTACATGTAATGGAAACTGAGGTTAGCAGCTTTTACAAAGAAGTGATAAGGTTAGGTTGCAGATTGTAAAGAACTTGGATGTAATTTCTGTGAGGGAATCTTAGCAATCTTTAGTAAACTGAAGATGTAGCTTGATTAGACTGAATTCAATCTTTTATCTGACTTCATTTGTTGTGATAACTTTATAGGTGTCACACTTAAAGAAAGAGCTACAAGCTCTGTGGGAACAGTGGTTGATGTAGGTTTAGATAAGGTATGTTCTTTCTTGGAGTTTGTCTCACTTAAACATGATGCCTATATAGTGTTTTTCTTTTTCAAAATCAAATGGAAAATTTAACATTGATACACAGAGATAGAATAGTATACAACTTCACATTGAAAAAAATAAATAAATCAAGAAGATTGTACTCAACTTATGTGACCACATAACAGTCCTTATATGGGTAACTCTTAACTGCATATCTATATGTTTGCTCCTTGTAGTTGTTAATAGTTAATAGCAGAAGGCTTCTGCCTTTTGGCTAAATATTCCTTTAACGTATGCTTCTTTTGTTTCATTTTGAGCATAGGGGTCTTAAATAGAAAGAAATTAAATACCTGCGGACGAACACTTAATTCTTGGTTGCTAATTTGCTGCCGTTCATTTATTGGGATTTCCTTAACTTTTTCATATTATTACTCGGTACTCACATAGAGTTTCAAATAAAAGCTGGCAATGAGAAGGGATTGTATTTGTTTCACACTTAAAGTTCTTCAAGGTTGTAATTTTTTTTCTGTCTAATTGCATTTACAAAGCTCAATGATGCCTTTACTTTAACTTGCATTGTATTTTTTCTCTCATTCAGATTAAACTGTATAGTGAGTTCCTTTGATAAGGAGTGTGACATGCTAATTATGATTTTTTTTTTTTTGGTTATTTCATGGTTCTTTGTGCAGAATGTTGTGGTGGATCAAGTACTTGAACCTGGAATAAGAATCACTGTTGCTATGGGTACTAACAACAACCTGGATTCTGGTAATAAATTCGTTCTAACCTTGTTTTATGTCTGGAGTCATGTGATGGTTAATTTAAGTTTGGTTGATTGCATGTGTGTCAGAAAACTTAAACCTAGCTTGATACGTAGGTTTTAAGTTGATTTACATGAACATCTTTATCCCGTATGTTACTGAATAATGCAAATTTTACATGCCTTGGTTCCATCCATAATGGAATGTTTGGCTGTGATATTTTTTTATTTTGCATTTAGCAGACATGTAATAATGAAATAGTGCTGGTCAAACTTGCATTTGCATGAAAGAATTTTTCTCTCATTTTGTTCTTGGATGAACCCTTTCTCTGAGCTTGTTCTAGAGAAGTTTCTTTGTTTTGGACTTAAAATGATGCACTCTTTTAATTTGTCCAAGGTTATAAGTGCCTCCACAATTTATCTTTACACGACATTCATACAGATGACATTATGTGTGTTTAGCTCATAAAGTTGATCTTTTATCCATTTTTGTAGATTTACCACGCCAAGTTGTCTCGTCTTCCAAGCCCAGGGAAGAAGCAGGAACGTATTGGGGGTATAAAGTGCGGTATGCTTCCAACATCAGTTCAGTATTTTCAGAATGCCCATACAAGGTACGTATACTTTGATGGTGCACTTTTAAACTACTGCCTCTTCCTCTCTAATTTCTTGTTTTTTCTTAATCTACCACTGACATAAGGATAGCTTTTATGATGTTGTCGCAGGGTGGGTATGATCACTTGATTGGTACATCTGAGCATGGACTGATTGTTAATTCATCAGAGCTTACTTTGCCTGCTTTTAGGTATATTTTTGTTTTTATTGGACCCTTTAAGTATGACTTATTATTGGTTTGTTATTTTTTGTTGGTAAAACTTATTATTTTATAAATTTATTGCTGGTTTGTCACAATTGCTTGATAATTTAGCAGGCATTTATTAATTGCTTTTGGTGGACTTTCTGGGTTAGAAAAGAGTGTAGAAGAGGATCATAAGTTAAAGGTATGTTACTGTAGGAAGCTTAATTTCGGGTTTGTGTCTTTCCGGTACACATTACTGTTTCTTTTTCTTCAGATGATAAGAATTGTGCTTTTCCTGCGATGATGAACATTTGTGCTTGAGTAAAAAATAATGGCAATGCTCTTTTAGTTTTAACCAACCAACAGTGACATTTTTCACTTTTGTACGTTTCTGTAACTTTTTGGTTCACCATGTGCTGAATTTTGTTATGTATTGACAGAACTGAGTCAGTTATTCTTTGGTTTTGATGTTGTGTATTCTCTTAGGGAAAAAATGTCCGTGACATATTTGACTTGTATTTGAATACATGCCCGCATCAAGGAAGTCGAACAATTCGGACAGAGGTGCCCTTGATTTCTTTTTGTCTAATTTTGCATTGTATAATTCAATTTATGTAGTCATAAGATCAACGTTTGAGTTTAGATCTTTACAAAACAGGAAGCACTCTTTATATCACTCCAATATTTCCACGAACCAATTACTCAAGCATTGCAAAGAGCCAGGAGCTGAAGATAACTTGGACTCTCAAACATCCAAGCATCAAGTTTTCTCACCTCGGCTGGAACAACGAATGTTTTTGCTTGAGGCCGACATTCTCCAGATTTTGAAGCTGGTTGCTGCATGCTCATGCTCATGCTCTGAAAGACAGGTCCATGAAATGTTTGATGCCAAAAATGTCTCCCTATTCTTGTAACCACCAAGGTTTGCCTTCAAGTTATTCGGCTTCTCTCTTTGCCATCAAAGCCCTTATTTCGGATGCCTGTTTTTCAACTTTTGTAATGTGAACTTTAGTGTAAGTTTACTTTTGCGTTACAAAGTTTCTCTTCAACATGGAGATGAACAAACTAGCAATAAAAAAAAAAAAGGAAAAAATTAAGATATATGGATGGATGGATGGATTTTTGTCTTAATGGTTTTATCAAATATTATGGTTGTTTTTATACCCATTAAGTTAAATTTCTAAATATAAATACCCTTTAATCTGATTCTTTGCCAATTTTACTCCAACAAATAAACTTAACTATATTATATAATTATGGGTAAATTTTATTTATATTTTTTGTGATTTTAATTTCTTTTATGTGACAATTTTTTGTCTCAATTATGTCAGATTTTTTTTTTCTGAAAGTGGATAATTTTTATTTTCAATAATGGGTTAGATCATTAATTTTGTCTAATAAACCTGTAAAAACATCTTTAACTGTAGATAAATAGACTAATTTTGAATTGAAAGTATTTTGATAATTTTATTAAGTAAAATTAATAATCTAAATTTATCATTCACTGGGAAAAAAAAAAAGTAGAAACCTATTAAGTACTACCTAATTCGCAATTGGTAAGTGAGGACTTTTTTTTCTATTGAAAAACGTCAGTTCTTAATCTTTCATATTCTCTTTTTGGCAATGCATATAGTTCCCATTTTTTTTTCAATCTTTTTCAGAATTTGTGTAGAATTAGAGTAAAAAATTTAATTTATATATAATTATAAAAAGTCAAAAGAACCGACCAAGCGAAGGAGTCACGAAGGCGACTATGTACTTAAGAAGGGGCATTTTTGTCATTTCAATATAATCTAGAGTCGTGTTTGGTTGTGCAAAATAAAACTAGGGCTGGCTCCCTAGTTATCTCTCCTTACAAAAACGAGAGAGAAAACGCCGAACCAACAAGAGGATCGTGAAGGTGTTCGGGCCGAAGAGAAAGAAAAAGAAAATAAAAAGAGAGAGAGAGAGTGTGTGTTATCTCCCTTACTAAGCACCCCACAAAGGCAACAGATAAAAAATTTTTCTTTTTTTTTTATTTTCTTTACAAAATAAACCTTCCCTCGTTTTTAAATTAAAAAAAAAAGAAAAGAAAAATTAACCGTTGCGAAAAAATTCGTTCCCGCCATGGTGGCTCAGCTGGAGCACCAACAGCAGAAGGAGGAACCTTGTTTAGACAATTTACAGAAGGCAAAGTCTTTGATCTGTGCCCTTAACTTTGTCTCTAGAAACCTCCCTCTCCCCCCTGACCTATTCGACGTCGTTTACTCTATTTGTTGTGATGAACAAGAAGGTCTTTCGGAGGCCACGGATGATGGGACCCAGGGTGATGATGGATCTGATGATGCTGGAGTTTCCCAGATGGGAACGGTCCGTGTTTTTGGAAATTTCCTTTTGATATATAGTTTTTTTTGCCTTGGGAATTGTTGTGAATTTGAGGGTTTTTAAGTTTGTTTTGTGTCTAATTGTTCTGAAATTTGTTTCTTTTTGCTGTGAATTTTTGTTCTTTTATGTGGTTTTTTATACCCTTTTGTTGGTTTGGTTTGTTTTGTGAGAAATTATTTTGAATTTTGAGTTTTTTTTTTCTGTGAAATTTATGCCTCTAATGGGAATTTGTGTGTTTTTTTCTTTTTTTGGTTGTGTTTGAGATACCCTTTTGTTGGTTTGGTCTGTTTTGTTTAGAATGTGTTGTTTCTCTTTGATACTCTTCTACTAGTTTGCTTCTATTGTGTGCGTAATTGCTATGAATTTGGGGCTCATTTTTTGTTCTTGAGATGGCCAATTCTTGTTCAAGGTCAATATTATTTTTGTGTTTTTGAAGAAGAAATTATGAGGTTAGGTTTTGGATTGATTTTATTAGAACTTCTGGATTTTGGTGTGTTATAGGGAGTAATAACAACCTTTTCTTGGTTTTGTATCTTGCTGTTGAATTGAAGTTCTCAAGGAAAGGCGTCGGGGATTCTGTTTCAGTATTTTGGCTCTTATATTTTGCTTGATCTTCATGTGTTAAATTGTTTTCAGTGTTCTAAGACAACAACCCCCCCCCCCTCACCCCCAAATTTTTTTTTGCTGCTGAAATTGACTGAATTTAATGCCTATAGTAATTTTTAGGGGTCTTAGACTTGCAGCTGGAGTGCTTCCCTTTTATGATAAACTTGGCGTGGCAAAAGTGTGCTTTCATTGCAGTGTGCATTTGGACTTACAATTATTGCAGTAATTCTAAATTGTAGCGCCAGAATATAATCTTTCTAGTTCTGGTTTCTTAAAATGTTGATTTAACATTCATGTGACAGGATGAATCTTCTAATTTTAAGAAGGATGATTTATTGGGTGACCTTGATGATGCATTATCAAAACAACGCTCAAAATGCATGTCTGGTTCTGGCTTGGCAGAATCGAAGGAAAACCATTACCAGAGCCACCTTCATCATCGGTTGAATGAACTTGAAGGTTATTATTTTCTATAAAGGATCTTTACCAAATATTTCATGGTTTTGCACATAGTAACCATATGTGAATATTTTTGTGATAGAAAATCTTCTATATTTGGTTTGGGGGTGAATCTAACTTTCTAATAGTGACATCTGTGAGTTTTAAGTGTAGCAAAATGCAATTTCAAGTTGTAGTTTGGACGACCATTTTTAGAAGGATTACTTATGCCTTTATATTTTAAATCAGAATTGCCTACAAGCAGAGGGAGGGACCTGCAGGCAAAGTGCTTACTTGAACTCTATGGACTAAAGGTAAATTACCGCACTAAAGTTGCTGATACACATATTAATACAGAAAATGCAATTATCTGTTCTACTGGTTGGGCAGCTGTTTATTGCGCTACAATGAAGTTATTTCTCCCCCTTTAGACTGTTTGCCTACAGAATCAATATGTTTTCACAAACTTGCTTTCTGTTGTCTAAGAACTGTTCTGTTAAGGACTTTCAAAATTCAGTGAAGTATGACCAAATGCAGCCTATATAACGAGATATCATAGCAATATATTCCTTGTTGCCACTTTAGCCCTTTTATCTAACTAAAGCATGCAACTGAAGAAGTTCGTAGATTGATTATGATGAATTATTTTTCTATCTCCTGCTTCATCTTGGTATTGGTTGATGACATGGATTATGTCCTTGTGGCCAAGGACCTTTTTCCTGGCAGCTAGCAGAGTTGCAAAGCAAGATACGTTCTCATGTGAGTTCTGAGTACTGGCTTCATGTCAACTGCACATCTCCTGACAAGCGATTGTTTGACTGGGGCATGACGCGATTGCCTTTTCCTTCATATGGAATTTTTGTTCCATTCACTACAGAAGCTGATGATCAAGCGAGAAAGAAACGGGATTATGAGGTCATTTACTTATCTATTAATTATTTTAACTTAGTCTTGCTTGAGAAAGTGCATATTGAAATCTAGGTTTATTGATTTTGGATGAAATATATAATAAAAATGTAGTTCAACCGCATGGAATGAGGTGACACTGAGAAATTTATGGTTGCCATTTAGTATTTACCTATCAAATCCTTTTCCTTTGAGATCCCATGTTCACAGGATGTGACTAAAAAGTTTACTTTAGCTGTCAAAAGCTTCTTCTTTATTTGGGCTTGGGACAGGCTATGTAAAAGATATAGCAAGTAACATGTGCAGAGCTTGTCTAGAGGATATGGGAGAAAGGGTAAAATTGCTAAGAGTGTTCACTGGGTTAACTTTGGGATTGCTTTTCTATTAGAAAGCCCTTCAATGAGTGAGTCCGATCCTTTGTATTAGGAGAAGTAGAGATGAAATCGTAGAAGTCTTGTCGAATACAAAATCAATATATGCGCTATCTAAAGGGAAAAACAAAAGAACTTATTATGTGTCAAAAAGGGATTGAAATTTCTTTTACACTGTTGATGAAGTCAAAAAGTTTTGTGCAGAGGCTATCACGGTTGAGGGAGGAGGAAAGGAACCAATTGGAGAATAGAAAGAAGAAATTTTTTTCAGAAATAGTTAATGCCTTCCGTGACTTCCAATTGCAAATTCAAGCTACTCTAAAGCGTCGAAAACAAAGGAATGATGGTGTCCAGGTATAATGCTTTCTCTTTGTGTTATATATTTTATTGCTTTGTTATATATCTGGTAGGGATTCATGGGTGCTAAGTCATGCCCTACTTGAATGCGAATATATGGGGAATTTTGTGGAAATGGTTGTCTTGAACCAAATATTGATCATACTAATTGGAACCATTTACAGGGTTCATGGGGAGATGAAATATAGATGTTAGATAGGTAATTGATGAAACTACAGCTTCGCTTTAAGCCTTTGTGAACTGAAGCATCACATGGAGTGCATTCAAGCCTTTTGATTTCATTGTAAAACATTCATTAAGCTCTTTATACAAATTACCTAGTTGTATTCTAATGAAGCCATACTGTGATGGGTATAATTTATTATACTACAACAATTACCATTGCTTATCATAGCTTATTATACACAAAGTCGCCCTTACTTTCTTTCTCTCTTTTCTCAATAATGTGTTGCATGTGTTCAATAGAACATCAGTTTTAGGCACTTCCTAAACGCAAATGAAAATCTGAACAACTTTTTTCTGTTAGTATGGGGAATTCCAGTATTTGTACCTTTATCAAGCATTTTTGAGTGCCTAGATGTTTCCTGGCTATTGAAGCATCCTCATTTAATATTACCTTGTTGTTTATTCAAGTTATACAAACATAAATAGGAAAAGATTTTGGTAGTCTTGCAATTAGAAAATGTATACTTTTTACTGTGCTTTCAGTTGCAACGACAATGTGGTTTCAACGTTTAGATATTAAGTATATTTTCGCAAAAGCATAAGTACTTATTGCATCCTGAAGGAAAACTTTCCAAGAAATAAGTTGCCCGGTTAAGTATCTTTTGTAATTATAAACAGTGATTTATAGTTCCCTTACTTGATTTAACATCAATTACGAGAAGCTATAGGCATCACAACATGTGGTATAAACTATAAAGAGCCTTACAGTTTTGGTATTTTAACAGGCATGGCATGGAAGGCAAAGACAACGTGCTACAAGAGCAGAGAAATTGAGGTTCCAGGCCCTGAAGGCTGATGATCAAGAAGCATATATGAGATTAGTAAAGGAGAGCAAGAATGAAAGATTAACTATGCTTCTTGCGGAAACAAATAAGCTCCTTGTTAATTTGGGAGCTGCTGTTCAACGGCAGAAAGATGCTAAAGTTTCAGATGGCATTGAAGATTTGAAAGATTTAGATTCTGATTCACTGGAGGTGGAGGCTTCGAAGGATGGAACTCCTCAAGATTCACCACCCGAAGAAGTTATAGACGCCACTGACTCTGATCAGAATGATGACTCCAGTGATCTACTTGAAGGTCAGAGGCAGTATAACTTGGCTATTCACGCAATTCAGGAGAAGGTAAGGTTATAAACCCTATTATTCATATGACTATACCACTCTATTTTCATTTTTAATGTTGTATCCTGGACCATTGGGATTTTCGTTTTTTTTGGCCAAAGGACCATTGGGATTTGATTATCACAGAATTCAATTGCACTGTAAGAAATTGGAACAGTGTGTATGTCTACTTGCTGCACATTCATGGCGATAAAAGCAGCTTAAATGTTTTTTTTTGGTTTCTTTTAACTATTGGAAGATGATTTTCTGTTAGTAGTTTCAATATGTTCAAGCATTTGTGCAATCCCTTAGTCATGGATTCCATCTTATTGAACATGTGTAGATTATTCTTGGGTTTTTGTGGTAATTATAATTTGTGGCTAATTTGCTTTATGGGAGGATATTATGTTCAATAATATAATTTACAGGTCCAGGTGGATGCCTGTGAATAGTCCTTTCCCAATGGTCAATGTTACTTCCTAGTGTATCCACCTAATTGCTTTCATTATGGTCTCTCCTTAAGCATATTCTATTCGCATTGTAGACTGTCCATGTTTGCAATATTCGTGATCTTTTAATCTCTGTTTAATTTTTTGGGAAGAAGCTACTAAATGTTTATGTTCTGTAAACAGGTAACTGAGCAACCATCCATGCTTCTAGGTGGAGAGTTAAGATCATACCAGTTAGAAGGGCTTCAATGGATGCTCTCTTTGTTCAATAACAACCTTAATGGAATTTTAGCTGATGAGATGGGGTTGGGAAAAACAATACAGACTATTTCATTAATTGCATATCTCATGGAGAACAAAGGTGTGGGTGGGCCCCACTTGATAGTGGCTCCAAAAGCTGTACTACCAAATTGGATCCATGAGTTCTCAACGTGGGCTCCTAGGTATACACAAAGTAGTCCTTGAAAACAACTTCCTCCCTCCCTTCCTCTTTCTCTCTCTCACGTATGTATGTGCATGTTTACCTGCACACATTCATTCATACAGATTCATTTGCTTTTGCATGTGGAAATTATAATTTTAAATATCTTATGCATTTTCTTCTTGTTTCAGCATCCATGCAATCCTTTATGATGGACGTTTAGATGAGAGGAAGACAATGAGGGAAGAAATATCAAGAGATGGAAAACTTAACGTGTTGATCACGCACTATGATCTTATTATGAGAGATAAAGCGTTCCTGAAGAAGATACACTGGTATTACATGATTGTTGATGAAGGTCATCGGTTAAAGAATCATGAGTGTGCTCTTGCACGAACCCTCATCTCAGGGTATGATGATAAACTTAATACTATCTCCTCCCAGATTGCAATCGTGTTTTATCGTAAAGTTTTACATATCCCACTTTTTCCTGCCATTGCCTGTTGGTATGGGTATTCTTGATCCTAAAGAACTCTCTACCATATCTTGTTTCACCTCTGAGGTAATGCAATTGATTAGCAAGAGGCCTTACTAGCTTTGGGTCTTTTAATTGCATGTGGCTTGTAGCTTTCTGTAGAAACATAACAGGAGTGAAAATGTAAGGATCGAAAAGGTGAATTGCTTTCCTCTTGCATAATGATTGTTTTATTTTCTTCCTCCTTTTTCACCCTTTTCTTTTCAATCTATATTACCTACCAAACCTTTTCCCACTTTGTAAGGTTACCTATTACATCACTGGTTTCAATATACATTTATAGTTTTTATTTTCCGTGAACTCGCCAGATCTGGGGGAGGGGGCGGGGGGGTGTGGCACAGAGTTGGATGGGATGGAGGGTTATATAGATAGATTGATAGAGGTGCAATCTACTAATTACGTAATGTGGTGTGTTGCTTTAGGTTGCCTGTCAAATCTGTTCAAGCCAGATACCACTTGACTGATACTACTTTGGCTTGAAAAATGTCCACATATGAATCTTCAGGATTCTAGAGTAGACGGCAATACTTTCTATTTGTCTTCCTTCCTCACCTCCCTTTCCCTTCCTGTGCTTTTGAGTTTAAATGCTCTTTTTGAATGTCATCTGCAGTAAACACTTTTTGTGTTTAGAATTTGTTTTGAAAGCAAGCGCTTTATGGTTGTATTAAAATAAATTGCAAATATAAATTGTCTTGAATTTTACCTTTCTGCAACATAATTTAAGGCTAAAGTATTTCACTGCTTTTGAAAGATTTATGTCTGTGCATGAAAATTGTAAAGGCTTTTCTAATTGAATTTTCACCTGTTTGCAGCTATCAGATCCAGCGTAGACTTCTGTTAACTGGGACCCCAATACAAAATAGTTTACAAGAATTGTGGTCCCTCCTTAACTTTCTTCTCCCAAACATTTTCAATTCAGTTCAGAATTTTGAGGAGTGGTTTAATGCCCCCTTTGCAGATCGTGGTGATGTTTCTCTTACAGATGAAGAAGAACTCTTGATTATTCGTCGTCTGCATCATGTAGGTCTTCATTGTTGTTTCAAACTCTCCCATCTATCGTTGGGACTTCTTTATATTTGATACAATTCCTTGATTTTCAGGTTATAAGGCCATTCATCTTGAGGAGAAAAAAAGATGAGGTGGAAAAATACCTTCCTGGAAAATCTCAGGTTATACTCAAATGTGATCTGTCAGCATGGCAGAAAGCGTACTATCAGCAAGTAACAGAGAAGGGCAGGGTTGGGCTAGATAATGGTTTGTAGATTCTACTTTTATGTGATGAGTTGGCTTTTTTTAATGACGTCTTGCTTTATCTATTTGTCAAAAACTGTCCATACTGTCTTTAATACCGTTAAGGGGATTGACATTGTTTTCAAAATGCTAAGCAACTACTTCAGTAGCCAACTCTTTCTTCACGAAATGAAGAGAGATAGGTCTTGTCCCATGAGAGTTGCCATATATCAACTACAACTTTCTCAATTTGTCAACGGAGTTTTGCCTATCTTGTGTAATCTTTTCCATATTTTTTTTATCCAATTTACGCTAGGTCAAGTCTTAATCTTGGGCTTTTCACATTTGTTGTTGATCTCATTTGAACTGCATTAAATGGTTTCCATCTTAGCAGTAGTACTACCTTACTGAAAAGGAAAGTAGAAATAGTTGACAGTTGTTAACTAAGACGTTTGAATTTTCCAGGGTCTGGGAAATCAAAGAGCCTCCAAAACCTGACAATGCAATTGAGGAAGTGTTGTAACCACCCATACCTTTTTGTGCCTAACTACAATATGTGGCAGAGAGAGGAGGTTGTAAGAGCATCGGGAAAATTTGAGCTCCTTGATCGTTTACTCCCAAAACTTCACAGAACTGGCCATCGAGTCCTGCTTTTTTCCCAAATGACTCATCTCATGGACATTCTTGAAATATATCTGCGACTCAATGATTTCATGTATCTAAGACTTGATGGCTCTACAAAAACTGAGGAGAGAGGATCTTTGCTGAAGAAGTTCAATGCAACAGACTCTCCTTATTTTATGTTTCTATTAAGCACTCGTGCTGGAGGTCTTGGCCTGAACTTGCAGACAGCAGACACTGTAATAATTTTTGATAGTGACTGGAACCCCCAAATGGACCAACAGGCAGAGGATCGAGCCCATCGTATAGGGCAGAAGAAGGAAGTCAGGGTCTTTGTGCTGGTTAGTGTTGGATCAATTGAAGAGGTCATTTTAGAGCGTGCAAAGCAGAAGATGGGTATTGATGCCAAGGTCATCCAGGCTGGATTATTTAATACAACTTCCACAGGTTTGTTGTGCTTGACTTAATCATTATCTATGTAATGCATGCGACATAAAATAAGTATGGCATGAGATAAGATAGGTAATATACTAATATTTCCTCAGTTCTGTCCTAGTGTATTTGATAATTAGCAGTTGGAGGATGCCCAAGCTATTGGTAGATACATATGTTTGCATGGTATGAAAGGTTTTGTGTGGGGATAAGGTACAAATTTATCATTCTAGTGGGTGATAAATTAAATTACCCGCTCATCTTTGAGCTAGTGCAATTTTATCAGTATTTTTTTAATTTGGGTCTCAATTGATAGAAGTTTAATGGGAAAAGAATATTATGCGAGTGAATTTGGTTCAAAATATGTGTTTTTAATTCTCTTCTTGTAATATACTGGAGCAATTGTTGTGTTCATCTATCGCATGGCAACGTGTCTTCTCCTTTAAGTTCATGTTTTGATTGTATTCCTATTTGATTCTCTGGTTGCGTAAATTCAACACCATGCTAAATGTGATCATATTGATATAATGCAGCTCAGGACAGAAAAGAAATGCTGGAAGAAATCATGCGTAGAGGGACAAGCTCACTTGGAACAGACGTGCCAAGTGAGAGAGAAATCAACCGGCTTGCAGCTCGTACGGATGAGGAGTTCCGGATGTTTGAGCAAATGGACGAGGAAAGAAGACTGAAGGAGAATTATAGGTCTCGACTCATGGAGGAACATGAGGTACCTGAGTGGGTGTATGAACTTAACAACGATGATGGGAAGGCCAAAGCCTTAGAAAATAACAAAGTTGAATTAGGGAAGCGAAAAAGGAGAGGGGGGAACTATTATCCGGATACATTGAGTGACTTACAGTTTATGAAGGCTGTGGAAAATGCAGAAGACATGGCGACAAAATTGTCAAGTAAAAAAAAGAGAAAAGACCACCTTCCTCCTGGGGCCAATGAATCTGCTAGTAATAACGTAGGAGTAGAGAAAAAGGTATTAGAATACAGGAACGAGAATGTGCCGGCAGTAAGCGAGGGAACCAGCGAAGATACCTATGGTTCAGCTCCAAAGACACTCAAGTCCAATGGTGAAACGAATGAGAAACCCAAATACCCTGGTGTGGAAAAATCTGAACATCAGGGTGTTGGAGGAAGTTCCTGGAATGAGCGAATAATTACATGGAATACACATAAGAAGAAGAGATCAAGCTATGTCGTCCCAACTTCTTCATCAGATTCAAGAGGGCAGAATTCCAGTGGAAGAGGAAATGGATGGGCTTGATGTAAAGTTCCTGCTCAAGCAGCAGTGGCCTAATGGGATGATCCTCATCACTCTGGGTAGAGATGGATTTATCCTATAAAAAAGGAAAAAACGTTGGTAGTACTCTGCCATCAACCAAGTTTGGAAAAGTTTTAATTTTGCCCTCATTGTAATTCAATTAGCATTCTACTTTAAAAATTTGATTCATGTTAATATTGCATAATTAATTAGCACTGTTTCTTAAGAAATTTTTACTTTCTCCAACCAAAAAAATAGTGTTTATGGGTAATAAGAACAAATTTTATTTAGTGGTGACACCTTCTACACAAATAGTAATCTCGTTGAAATTAAAGTCAATAAATGAAAATTTAATTGTTCAATAAAATATATATAATGAAATAAAATTCACTTCTTGCTAATTGTGGCGTGTAAAGAATTGAAGTTGGCCAGCTGATTTTGGAGATTAAATGCTTCTCTTATCAATGAGCATAATAAAGATCCTTTTGAGTGGGATTGAAGAGGAAAATACAAAGAACTAAAAAAACAAAAAGGAACAGTGAAGAATAAAACATCAGATCTCAAGCATCATTAGAGGAAAATATGTGACCAAGAAAAGATTGGGCTATCACAATTAAAAGACATTAAAAGGTTTTGGAAGTTCCAAACATACCCTAACGAAATAAATAGAAAACAACAATCCTACAGAAAATTAACCTGCTAAAAGACTGCCCAGCTCGGTAAAATTCAGCTGAGCAATGAATTCTACAAGTTATTAAAGTTCTGAAGGATTCTAAAGCAGCAGAAGCTGAGGAATGCTGTAACTTAAAAGGAAGAATTAAGAGAGAAATTTATTCTTCTTGACTAACTTCAAGGTTCTTCATTTTAGATTCCAATTCGTCCTCATTAGCTTCACCCTCTCCAGATTCTTCGTCATCATCTCCTCCTTCAGGATCATTCTCATCCAAGGAACCAAGCATGTCAGGGGACTTCTTGAATATCGCCTTCACCTCATCAATACCATCATCAGAGATGATGTTTCCATTGATTTTCAACAACATAAACCCAGATTTCTGAATAACTACCTGAGCCAAATGTCGGGCCCCTGCCCTTCTTATAAAATTGGTGCTCATATCAACCTCCTTTAAAAGGGTGTGGCCTTCTTCCAAAGCATTGCTTACTTGGATAGTACCTTCGTCCTTGAGTTCATTCTCAGCCAAGTTCAACTTGATTAGATGCTGCTTTGCTGCTATACAAGCAGCTATACTAGGAGCAGCATCAGCCGTTATGTCATTTCCAGCCATTTCCAATACTTCAAGAGAAGGAGCCGATTCCTTTAGAGCATTGGCTACAGCAATCGCACCCTCATCTTCCAAGTTGAGATAACTCAAGTAAATTTCAACCAGATCCACATGCTTTGGAAGAGCTTTACTCAGTGTAACTCCAGCTTCCACACCTAACATGTTGTCCCGCAGGTCAAGCTTCTTTAAATTGGTACAAGACTCAAGCGCTTCTGATAAGGCAACTCCTCCTTCTGAACCAACCCTTGTAGAGGAGCATCTGAAATCCTCCAATACAGGAGAGCGCCTGACAACCTCAGAAATTGCAAGTGCGCCCTCATCTCCTGTCATATTATTATGAAAGTGAAGGACCTTCAACTTCTCTGTAGAGGGAATCAATTCACAAACGGCTCTGGCAGCTTCCTCTGAAATACCATTGTTCATTAAATAGAGCTCCTCCAGGCAACTCTGTGATTTCAAAAGAGCACCAAAAGCCCTGACACCCTTCTCACCTAAGGCATTGTTTGAGAGGTTAAGAGACTTTAAAACACTACCCTCCAAAGCAGCAGAAAATATATTCATAACTTCAAGAGCTTCTGCCTCCGGTCTTCCAGCAATAAAGTCTGACAAGTCAGCTTCTTTCAACTGATCCTTGAGGGAAACCAAAATGGGCTCAGCAACGCGGGCGGCGCCTAAACCAAAGCTTCTATTACTAAAGCATATCTTGGTGTAACAATTTCCAGGTTCCTTTAATGGCCTTAAAAGGTTCTCAGCCTCCTCTGCCTCAATAAAAGCCCGTTGGTCTTTAGATATATCAAAGAAGGTTTCAGAGGAAGTATCTTTGTCAGATGCCAACTCCTCCTCCTCCTTCGCTGCAGGCCCTCTTTTAAGAACTTCCAGCAAAAGTTTACTACATTCCTTGGCATAAAGCTGCACCGCAGCACCTCCATCTCCATCTGGCTCCCTATCATACTGTTCATTCGCTGTGTTAAAAGCTATATCCTCAATTTTCTTAGCATTCTCCTCAGCCTCTTCTTTGTTAAGAGCGCCATACTTCTGGGTAAATATAGAATTACTTGTGAGATTGTTTGTCAAGCGTTGCACAAGTACCTGCCGAGTGCTTTCGCTAGGGGGCCAAAGTTTAATTGAAAATGGCCTGCGTTGTGAATTTGTTGTAGAATCCATCACAGAACCAAAGAAATCCGGCTGCAAATACTTAATGGCCTCAGTAAATATTAAAATAAAGATATTACAATACAGTAATGAAGAGAAATTATAAACAAGCAACATGTGAGGATTCTTAAGTTTCACATTGTTCAACAAATTTTCAGAAAGAAAACTGCAACATTGATCAGAAACTTCCTCAAAATCTGGAAATGCAAGTCATATACACACATGCGTATGTATGTATCTTTTTACATACATACATTCATACATGTGTATGTAAGTATGTATCTTTTCACATACATACATGCATACATGCATACATACATATGTATCTATGCATCGTTTCACATACAAATGCACAATAACGAAATTAGACCTTCATTTGCAATCAGCAAAACAAACTCTAAGTCCTTTTTTTTCAATGATAAGAAAAATAATAAAAAGAGTCATAATAAGAGCCCAAAAACAGTCCTTTAAGCAAGAATCCGAAAATTCAAAATCCCATCAATTTAAAGTTCAAGGCTAGATTGTCCATCGCTTACACAACAACAACAACAACAACTTAAAACTTCAAGAGGAATTTGAAGTTTAAATTTTAAATCTTTGCAATAAATTCATTAACATGACACAAAAAAAGGAAAAAGAAAAACCCAACGGTTTTTCTCTTCCAATTATTTAATTAAAAGGAGGAAACTAAGCAAAGAAAATCTTAAAAAAAAAAAGAAAAGAAAACAGCAATCATTGGTTTATTTCGTGCAGCGGTTTACCAGCGAATTGAATCAAAATAAAAAAAAAACAATAAATATAAGGAAAAAACAAAACTAACCATATCGAAAACACAAGATCTAAGACAGAAAATAAAAATGTTTTTTTTCCTAACGTTGAACACTAAATAAGATTAACAAAAAAAAAAACAAACTTTCAGCAATAAAATCAGTATAACAGTTCAAACATTCCCATAAATGCAGCAGATCTGAAGGGAAAAAAAATAAAACATCAAAAAACCCGAAAAAAAAAGGCAGAGAGATTGATTGGAAGCCGTCAAAGGAATTTTGAAAACAGAAAAGTTACGAGGAGGAAGTTAAAAGTAACGGAACCCTAGAAATATCAAACGGAAGAAACGAGAAGTTAATGCAAAAGAAAAGAATTACCGCGTTGATTTTTCTTTTCTCTGATTTCTTCTTTTGTTTTCTTGGTTTGAATCTGTTATTTTAGTTTGAGAGAAGCAGAAACGAGAGCGAGATAGAAAGAGAGCAAGAGAGTAGGAGTGTGAGCGTGGAGGGAAACGAAAAGAAATGAAAATGAAAGCCAAGGGAAAAACGAAAAGAAACGTTACTACCTTTTTAGCTTCTTTTGGGCATGATTAATTCGGGGATTATGCTTTAAAGTGCGTATCTCTCTTTCGGGTGTTTGGAAACGCATTTAAAAACGTTCCTGTTAAGGATTGATTTGATGAATGATGATGCCAAAATCAGGTAATAACTAATACAAACTTCGTTTCGCAAACAACTTACATCAAAAAGGAAAACCAAAACCCAATCTAGGATTCAATAATTGATTTGGGTCGGGAAGCAGAGGGGAAGATAGAAACCCAACAAAACTGTGCAGCAAGTGCCCCCCCAATTGTCGCCAATCAAAAGAATCGTTTACCAAAGGACAGAAATGTAAGCTGAGATGGGTGAATTATAGTATAAATGTGGGCACCTAAACTGCACATGGCAATTGCTTCAGTGTCACAATCTTTCTTATCAGCAGGGATTTTGGTCTTTTATTATGTGCAGAGGGCAGAAGGGTTTGGTAGTTTTCGTAGTACTGGACTTAAAATGGACCCCCATTCTCAGTGGTAGGCAACCACCAAAGGAAAATGGTAAAAGGTTGCCATGATTGCAGCCATTATTCAGTCTTGTTACAATCTTTACTGCTTGTGGTACTAGTATTAATGTTCAAATAATATAATTATTAATGCATTTTATGCATGGAATAGTTGGGTTTGCAGGTAACTAGCTAGCTAGACTTTGTTTGCCTCTTGAGAAAAAGGGGAAAAAAGGGGAAAGTTGAAGGATTGATGAGGTTTGTTCCTACAGTTTTGTCCTATTTATAAAGTTTCAAGCTAGTCAAGGAAGCAATGAAGCAGATCGGAGGATCTCCTAATAAAAAGTGAACAAGATCTTCATCAAAATGCCAACGACTTAATTAGCTTAGATGTTAAATAGCATGGCCAGTTTTCTACCTTTTGTCATTTTTCCATTTTATCAGTACCAGCCACTAGCCAGGCAGGTGCGATGTGAAATCTTTAAAGTTCAAACCGACTAGGTTTTACAACAGGCTTTCACTTATTCTTGTGTCATCAAAATTGTGATTGACTCAAAAGCAATGAAGGGACACATAAAAGAACATAATAGACCCTACCAAATTACTTTGCTGGTAACTGTTCAATTAACAACTGAACTCAACACTCTCTCATTGAGCTACTCGGAAACAAAGGAGACTCAAAATCTTTCAACCAGCTTTAGTATCATCTCCCACTGGCCATTGCCATGATCAGCTGGGTCAGCTCGTTTGTTTTAGTTTCCAAAGAAAAATATAGAAAAGGGCAAATAGCCCATTAGACAGCTCGTGGTCCTAGTGCATTTGCAATGCATTTTGCTTCCTATTTGTGCACCAAACTAGCCCTTGGGCCTTGGGCCATAGGCACTAAGCTAGGGGCTGGATATGTTCATTTAACGTAGATTCAAAGACCAGGCAAATCTAATTATTTTCTCAATGCCAATTTCGAGCTCACGTATTGATACCGTTTGATATCTTATAATATAATATAATTATAAGTAATGTGATTTTAATTAATATGATTTTTAAAAAAATAACACTATTTGATATACAAGTAAAATAATAATTAAAATATTAAAAAAATAATATTACAGTATTTAATTTATAAATATTTTGTTAAAAATATAATATTAATTTTAAAATTATTTTTATTTATTAAAATATAAATTTAATATATTTTTATTTTTTATTATTAATTTTTATATAATATTATTTATTAAATACATTTTTAATGTAATGTATTTTACTTTCATTTTTTATTATAATTTTATATATTTTATTTTTTAATATAATTTTTTATATTATATATTATATTTTAATTTCTTTTACTTATATTATATAAATTTTAATTTTTTATATTTTTTAATTTTTAATTTTTTTATTATATATTTTATTTTAATTACAACATTATAAAATATTTTTAACAAAAGTAATAAAATTGAAAGTTAAAAATATTTTTAAAAACATTACATCTAATGTGATTATACTATTACAAAATAAAAACACATTACACGAAAGGTACTACCATTCAGTCATTTTCTTTTACCAACATATATTCAATCATGAAACAATCCAGAATTGGCTTGAAATAAGATGACTTGTGCAACATGGAAGCCAAGCTTCAATAAAGAAGACAACTGAACAGAATCACTTTACAACTAAAGGCCTACTTCAAGGGATGAAAGTACAAACTCCAAATGGAGAGGACGCCGATGGCTAGAGCACAAGAAAATGTTAATATCTGAAATTCTTCATGCTGACCGAGTTTAAATGGAGTAAGAGCAGATTTAATTATTTGTTTGAGCTCTATTACATTAGCCAGAGGCATCATAAACGAAAGGAAAATAGGGATAGATATCAATACACCCATCTGAAACAGGGGCACAGGTTGACATACAGAAATGCAAGTGCATCAGCTTTTCAATTCTTGGCAAGTTTAGACAAGCTGCAATTGTACTGCAACTAGCAGAGCAAAACGCATCGAAATCTCATTTCCACTGCCATTAAGGTAACAGCAAGCTCAAATTATACAAGGAACTCGATATGATCATCTAACATTGTTAACTAACAAACAAACCCAATTTTAAAGGGCAATCATGTCAAGAAATGCTTAAGTAAACTACAACAAGTATGCTGCAATTCCTAACCATGAGATGAACAAACATGTAGCACCTAACTCGAAGTAACTGGTCGCATTCATGATTCACCAATGCCTTGTAAATCCAATATGTCTAGCAAAGCAACTAAAGCTATGAATTTCAATCTTCACCAATGCTCCAACAGAGCAACTAAAAATTGAATCTTGTCAAGTCACCTTGTAAAAATTTCTAAGAATGAAATAGATCATCTATCCTAAACAAGACAACTAAAAGGGCTTAAATAATTTCTGGAATAACCATGAGAATTATTCTCTAAACAAATCAAACACCGATGAGCTTAAGGGCTAATTCCGACGGTACAAAACTACTGAAAGCAGCCGCAACCACATGAATTCCTTACTGTTGTCCTAAAATAACTGCAGTGCAACTACAAAAACAAAATATTCAAGACAAAGTTACTCTTAATTCAACAAAAATACTATAAAATCCCAAAGCAAAACTTCAAAATAATACCCCTAAGATTCAACAACTTTAAATTTAAAGCAACAATAACATAGCGTTTAAATAGCCCGAAAGACCATTGTTTTAAACCTTAAACCATACTCTAAAGTACCAAAAATAACACCATAAACAGTGAACCTCTCTATCTCTCTCTCTTTTGTGTTTCTTTCTTCAACGGTAAGATTTCTGGAACCTAGCCCTAGCTCCCCGTCCACCGAACTTCTTGGGCTCGCACCTTCTAGGATCCGCCACGAGCAGGGTTCGGTCGTACCTAACCAAGATATCCTTAATCTCCTTCTTGCTCTGCTCATCCACAAACTTCTGATAAAACGCCACCAGAGCTTTGGCTATGCTTTGCCTGATTGCGTAAATCTGAGAAGTGTGACCTCCGCCTTTGACTCGGATCCTCATGTCGACTCCGGCGAAACGATGTCGTCCGAGGAGCAGAATCGGCTCGTAAGCCTTGTAGCGGAGGATCTCGGGCTCAACCAACTCGATTGGGCAGCCATTGATCTTGATTAGGCCACGGCCACGCTTGCAGTAGGTGACGGCGACGGCTGTTTTCTTGCGGCCGAAGCATTGAACGGACTCGACTGGAGCCGCCATGTTTAGGGTTTTCGCGAAGCGTTCCTTTGAGTTGTAGAGAAAGTGCGGCTCAAGGGTTGGGAGTAAAGGGTAATAAGATATGAGAGTGTGGGTTTTTAGATGGGAACCTTTCTAGGGTTTGGATGATGATGATCTGGAATGGACGGCTGTGATTGGGTGGAGGTTGAAAGGCGGATGGGCCCTTTTTTGAGTTTATAATTATTGAAGTTTCGTAAATGGGCTTTTTTATTGGGCTCAGGTCCATTTTAATAAGCATTTTTAAATGTGAGAGATGGAGTATGGACCGGACCAATTACAAGAAACCCACAAAATGTAATTGTTGCCTGAAGGAAAAAAGAGAAAAGAGTTTATAGCTATTTTAGTTGATTTATAATCCTCCAAAATTACAAAAAGAAATAGTTTTCCTTGAATTAAAAAGATATAATAATTTAAAAAATTTATAAATTAATTAAAAATAAATAAATAAGTTTTTATTTTTTTATTATATTTAATCAAATTCTTATATTTTAATTTTAAATTGAATAAAATTTTATGATTAATAATTGATTAATTATCCATAATCAAAACGTCACTTGTTAATTTTTATATTTAATATCGATGATGTAGCACTGGAGGTTGAAAGTGAATATATCAAGTCATCATTTAATATGGCATGTCAATATACTACATTAGCACTTTGTGATCTAAAATAATATTTAATGTTTTGACTAACACAATTAATCAACTGTTAATTATAAAAGTTTATTTGACTTGAAATAAAAATATAAAAATTAATTGAACACAATAAAAAATAAAAACTTATTGAAATTTTCTTAAATAACTTATGATTTTTTAAGTATTATGTCAATTAAAACATTGTGTTTTTAACATCAATAATCAAATGAAAAATCTTTTGATGAGACTCCAGTTTCCGGGTCTTCGGCTGATGGTGGCAAGTTGGGAGAGCCAGCCAGTCGCTCAACCGAACCATCTTTGTAAACCCGGATGAAAGGGAGAATCTCAGTGGCGACTTCCTTATCGAGGGAATCCATATAGAAAGTGAGGTTTGAAGTGGTTAAAGGTGGAACCAAGGTCAGTAACGAGAAAAATTTTGCAAACTTTTTGTGAATGCTTTTGGTGGAATGGAACCCTCATCGTGGTAGACAATTTATACAGCATGTGGGAAAATAGCTTGCGTTAAGAAAGCCAAAATTGACCTTTGAATAAATCTATGCCATCGATCTCTTGTGAAGATAAGTTTTAGCCATTTATGCTTATAGAACATTTAATCAATATCTATCCCAACCTTATGGATGGAAACTTGTCTCTCGAAGAAAGCTTGTTGGTGACCT